AGGAGCTGCAAAAATGCACTTATCAGGGTTGATACTGAGGAGGAGATCAAGGACGCTTCGAACATGTTCAAGATGAGAAACAAGATCAGGGCTGGATATAAGGACATCATCACCATATAAAAAACAGTATGGAAGGCCCTGGAAAATCTGATCCATCTATCCTTAGAAGGTACATCCACAAACCTTAGGCCGAGAAGAGGATGTTGATGGACTGCTGGTTCTAGCAAGACTAGAGGAGGATCTTGTTCTGGGGTTGAGAGACAAAATGAAATATCCTCAAAATCCTGAGAAGGTAGAGATCGATTAAGTCAGGAAATGAGACTGAATGTCCACAGGAAGGCAATCCATGAAAAGTCCTAGGAAGAGGAAACCGGGCTTCTCATCTTCAGGGAGGAGGACTAACATCTTATCCATCAGCTCCAACAGTCTCTGATCTGTTAGAACTGTAATACTCTAGAGTGCTTGGTACCTCTGAAAATTTCTCAGGGTATACATCTGAACAAAGCGGGATCTCAGGGCAATGTTGTTGACCTTTAAAAAAGGTCAGAAAATATACAAATAAAGAAATCAGAAAAACCCAAATATTCTATAACATTTATTTAAGAAAAATAATATTGTTTTGAAATATTTGCACAAATGGCGAAGTTAAAATTGGTTGATTGAAATTGAACAAAGGATTATAAATTGACGAACATCAGTAGCAACTTCATATTGGTAGTGTATAACTTCTTAAGCATCGTCTGTTGGTAGCTATAGGTATCTGCATCATCACTATGAAGGAGCCAGGATTGCTCCCTGAGACGGAGTTGTTATCATCTCCAGTGTTCTTCGCTGACTAAGTACCGGGAGGTGTAGAGAGGCAGGGGAAGCCGGGAAAACGAGGGTGACATGTGGAGTACTGCATGTAGGAAACGGATTCATGGGTTTATAGACAGTACGGCTGCATATATATACAACACAGAATGTCGTCTTCCTTTTATTTCGAATTTGGGTTAACAAATGTATGGTTTAAGGTTCTGCTGGAGGATTACAAACTAGATCTATAAGGCAGATGGCAACATCCTGGGGCAGGGTTGCAACACAGTGATGGATCTTGGTGAGGGAGGTTGTCACTCGTTTAATTGCAAACTGGGACTCGGCCTGTTGGAACCAGGCCTCGGGAGAATACGTCCAGAAGGTGGGTAACTAGATGGAGACAGCTGTCAGAGAAACCTGACAATCAGGGTGATTTGCCTTGTGTGGGTTCAACATTGCTAAAGTTGCTGAAAAAGAACACATGTTTCAGATTGCCGGAAATCCTACTATGGTATATGGGTATGAAGAGAGCAGTGACCCGGTTAAAACCAATTTCAGATACTTCAATGAGAGACTAACTTTTCTTACAATGTAGCAATATTTCAAAGACCAAAACAAGTGAACTGTATATATCGAATCTTATTTACAACATGGGTTTAAAATCTTATGTAAATATATTTGGTTTGGTAGGCTGAACTTCCGGACTGGAATACAAAGTTTGCTGTCCTCCACAATATCTACTTTATATGGGGTACTTTTTTGGTTAAAATACTCAAATACACTGTAAAAATATTTGATTTTTAAAAATATGAAATCATTATCCATCCATATCAACATATCCATATCAAAAAATCGATTACTGAACGAGTTTTGATTCTTTCATTTTTTTCTATAATTATTCCAGTTGCTTCTAATTTGCTACTATATAAACTGCAAAAAGGATTCGACCTTTTCGATGAAATAATTTCTACCTTCCTTTATTAATGTTTAGAGATATAAAAATAATTGTTACATAGATATTTTGTGTACGCATTACGCATATTATGTTGAACATCCCTACTTAAACGACCTAGGAAACTATGCCTGGAATTCAGACGATAGGCGACACAGATACGCGTAGATAGGTAGATAGATACATAAATAGACTTTTATATAAACAAACTCTAAAGATTGACATAGAGATAGAATACATGCGTAATAGGGGCAGGTTATATTAAACCCCTACATCTTCATCTATTCATCTATTAGTTCATAAAAAGGGTACAGGGGTATATTAGACCCCTATACCATCATATATTCATCTATTAATTTATTTATAGGTACAAGGGGGTATGTTAGAGTATATAAGATCCCTACACCTTCAATATTCATCTATTAGTTCATGTACAGGGTACAGGGGGGTACATTAGACCCCTTTACCTTCATAAATTCATCTGTTAGTTCATGCAAAGGAAGAATAGGAAACAGGTGGAATATTAGAGGTGGTGGGTCATTTCCCCAACACTAACTTCTCCAGTCACTAATTTCCCCAACAACAATAAAATAAATAAACATTTTTTACAAACTTTACAGACTTTACAAAATCGCACATAACCGAATTCTCAATATCTGGCCAAGCATTATCTCTCACATTGTTTTGAGTTAAAACAATTTCTGGGCCTAGCGCTGTGGCTAAGATGGGCTGTAGGGCCGAGCACTGCGGTCTCTTAAATTTTGAATAATATGCCGTTGCTCACATTAATTAGAAAGGTTAGGTTAAGACAATTTCTTGGCCGAGCGCTGCGGCTAGAGTGGACTAGGGGGCCGAGCGCTGCGCCTTCTTAAATGTTGAACAATGTGCCGTCTCTCACATTATTAAGGGTTGATGGGGTTAAGACTACTTCTGTGTCTAGAACAGGGTATTACAGTTTCAAAATTTAAAGAAAATTTCAAAATAAGAAGCGTGAAATAATCAGCTAAAATCAACATTTAACATATAAGAGGCCGCAGCGCTCGGCCAGAAATTGTCTTAACCTAATTATTTTTTTTAAAAGTTCCTAATTTTTGATCTTCAAATTGCGCATTTGTTCATTGGAATTATGTTAAAAACGAAAATATTTAATATTTTACTGCATTGGGAAATTGTTGTTGGTGAGATTGCTGTTTTTACTGCATGGGGAATTGTTGTGTAGGACGTTGCTGTTGGAGAAATTAGTGATTGGGTAAATTGCTGTTGGGGAAATAACATAATACCAAATTAAATTTATACATATAGGGATATTTTAGACTAAAACTCGACATACTTTAAATATATAAGTTGTGAACTAAATTGTATTTATCTCATAGATAAATAAATATAAATGATTTATCTTAAATCACAATCCGAAAGTTCACTCTGATGCTCTACGATCCTAAGGGTTTCCAAATAAGTAACCTAAAGGTTTCATTTATCTCTCTCTCACTACCAAGAGTTATTTATCAAATTTTTCTGATTTTAATAAAAGAATATTATTCTATACTGTTACATCATCAATCATAATGTTGACAATATAGACGTAAATAGAAATAAAACCCCAATTTAAAGTTGATGGTTGATGGAGTCCATCTGGTAGTCTGAAGAAGAATAAGGTCCCAGATCTGAACATCCAAACCAAATAAACATCTTCGCCCCAAGACCTCCAACAGTAATGAAAAAAAACAATCAAAGAATCATACTAAGCAAACATTTAACACCTAGTTCAGGAAGATGGCATCAGTGATGCAGAAAATAAAGCAGGCCTAACAACTATTCATACAAAGTATGTTGCTGAAACTATCCTTAACCAACAAAACAACAAGGTCTCAGATAGTCCCCCTCCTAACATCCAGATACAGGGTGTCCCACGAAACATGACAGTATGCAAGAGGCCTTGAATGTCGTCTTGATTTTTGATATAATTTGCTGCGTTTATTTGTCAACCTAATTTTAGAAGTAAATTTCTAGAGATAATAATCACAAAATTCCCCTAGTCCAGCTATTTCCAAAATGTGGTCTGCATTTTTTGTGCTTTCAATATTGCCCGTGATATGAACAATTTCGTTTAGATTTCGACAATTTTGCTTTTATTTAACAAAATTGAAATCTGAACCAAACTCGTAATATTGAAAGCACAAAAAAAGCAGACCACTTTTTGGAAATGCCAGGGCTAGGAGAATTATGTGATAATTGTTTCAAGAATCATACATGTTAAAGTAGATAGAAGACCAAATGTCACAAATAAATTCAAATATCAAAGACGACTTTCAAGTCGTCTTGCTGTTGTCATGTTTCGTGGGACACCCTGTATCAGAATCCTTACCAAAAAAAAAACAGGAGTAATCCTATCTTAACTTCGCAACTACAGCACATACTTGAACTCTAATACGTCAAGATTAGATGAACAAATTCAAAAAGAATGCCCAGATTACAAAGAAAGTCCACATGATACCCAAACCCTCTTTAGAACTGTACAGAAAACTGACAATTTTAACTATCTTTAGCCTTTGGACGCAACCAAGAGAAGCTGCTCTTCATCTTGGTTTAGAAGTGGGAGAAATAACAGAAGAAGAAGTGACCTCACCTAATTTCTGGGCTTCAACAACGACTGTTAAACTCAAGCTCGGACTTAAAAATCAAGAACTGGTAAAACTATTTAGTACTTCACAGCATCAAATACTGAAAAGATTGCTTAAATATCGACCTCCGTTTTATAGGATCACTGTATATTGCACAATGAACAGGCCATGCCTTAACATATTACAGATGTTAATGGAACTTAGTTAATAAATACAAAATTTCATAAGTTAAAAAAAATAAACTTTCATCATGGTTAATATTTACTAAACATCAGTTTATAAATACATAGATTTCATTACAGGGTACAAGAGTACAGAGCATTCATGTAAACTGTACAGTGTATACTGTACATGCATGGATATTTACAATTATATATATTTATGTTTGTATAAAACTAAGAGTAAATTTTGTAACAATTAATCAAATTAAAGTTAAAACAAATACATAGGAACAGTAAAATATTCTTGGTAAGCAATAGCAGATCTTATTTTAAATAGAAAGCCTTATTACAATATCTCAACAAGGCAGCATACAACCAATATATTTTAACGACTGTCATTTCATGTTTTAAATGTTTAATGTCCGAATTTAATGAATTTAAGCCCCAAAAACCGGTCTCAATTGAGCGCCGGCTTAAATCTTAAAAAATTGAATAGAATTTTAAGTGGAACCAACCATATTTGAGCCGCGACTCAAATTCTTTAAATCGGTCTCAGGTTTAAAAACCATATTCAATATCGGGCAGTTTTACAAAAAAATAGGCTGTGAAAAAAATCTGTTTTCATTTTTTACATCATCGAGTATTTTACAGTTGTCAGAGATTCTTGGAATTTACATTAACATGTATCATTAATATTATCATAAAGATCAGATTTAGACTCAAACACCATTACATCTATTTTATCTATTTCTTTGTCTAAACATCTGTTTTTACAATCAAATAACTATATTTATATATATACAGATTAGCATTTTTAGCAAATGTTAGAAATTTTGTGTTATGATTCTCGGGGTCAAGAATTTACTTCTTCTTCGATGTCCCGTGTTGGGTTTACCCTGCAGGTAATTAATTACATAAATATAAATTTTATCCAACTCAATGTACTAAAAGTACAGAATCTATGAGTTTAGTTTCCAAATCTACGAATTTAGTTTCAAAATTTATGTATTGAGATTCCACATATTTAAGATTTGGATTCCAGATCTAAGAATTAAGTTTCCAATCTTTGAATTTTGATATCGTATTTGTGAATTTAGTTTCAAGATGTTCTTTTAACGTATTATCAGATACTTTCATTTTTGGAGTAGGACAACGATAATAATAATAATAGACCGTCAACCATCGTTAATAAAAGCAGGAAACTAATCTCCAGATTATTAAGTTAAATTGTTGATATTCATTGCTGATTTTGCACTTTACTTGCATACTTAAGTAAAAGTCTATTAATGCTATTAAATACTGCAAAGGTTTAATATCATTGTAAAATATTTAAAAGTTTTCGTTAAATTAACTATAAAATCATTCAGATCAATTACAAAAAGAAATCTATGGACAAGTTATTATACAATTTTAGTTAAATCAACTTAGCGTTACAAAACTGATTTCAAATAAATGTTCTTATTTACAACCAAATCAATTTTCCTGAATAAGTTCTGCAATGGAAGCAATGGACATTTGTTCTTCAGGTTTACCGCCATGTTTTCTTTTTATGTGCTCATTCAAATTACACTTGTATGACCCAACATATTCACATTGGGGACATGAGTAAATTTTTGTCGACTTGATGCCTTCGTGCTGGCTTTTTATGTGCGAGCTGAGGTTGCTCTTGTATGAGCTGACATATTGGCACTTGTCACATGGAAATATTTTGTCAGATTTAATGCCTTCATGTCTAGCTTTTACGTGAGCTTTCAAGTTACTTTTGTATGTTGCTACGTAGTTACAAATCTCACAAGGGAAGAGTTTAGTAGATTTGATTCCCTCATGTTGAGTTTTTACATGAGAATTTAAATTGCATTTGTAGGTTCCAACATAGTCACAGTGAGGACAAGGAAACTGTTTGTTTGGTTTTATACCCTCGTGTTTGGTTCGTATGTGTGCGTTCAGGTTACCCAAGTGTGTTCCAACATAATCACACTGATTGCACGGGTATATCTTCTCCTCTCGAGATTCATTCAAATGTACACTTTTCCTGTGAGCTATCAGACTTGTCTTTTGTAGAGTTACAAACTCACAATGTGCACATTTAAATTGTTTTCCTTCATGTGCAGTTTGTTTGTGCTCTTTTATACAGAATGAATATGGTGCTGTAAACTCACATTGATCACATGAGAAGAGCGTGTTGGGTATGAAACCTTCATGCATCTTCATCATGTGTCGCTTTAGATTTCGTTTTCCAAACGTGACAAAAGTGCATAGATTACAGGGATGCTTGATTTTCACATGCTGGGTAAGCCGATGCTCTCTGTTTCAAACCAATTTTAAAATCAACTCGTTAAATATGCAATTGCAAGGGTATTTAAGATATTTAAAAGAAAGTTTATTAAATATTTAAGGGTATGGACTAAATTTTAAGAAAAAATGATTAATTCGGTTTCAATTTATGGTGAACATGAAATTACGGATATAAGATGCGGAAAGGTCTTGTAAATAAGGGTTGAAGGGACATTTCATTTATAGGATCGAACTTCATAAATGGTGAAAAAAGTTTACATTACAGAGACGGAGAGGAAGTTTTTTAGTCATTTATAGAAAACAGTCAAATATATCATAAAAACCATAAGAAATATGAAAAAGTAATGAGCATGGAAAATTAATGGCACAACAAAAAAGTTTAGCAGGCTTGTGAAAAAGTGAAAATTACGTTAATTAAAATACATTTAAAAAATGTTTTATCATTGAAATATACTGTCCATGAGATGTCAGATCTTTGAAGAGCGAAACATTAAGAAATAGTTCTATAAAGTCCCATTTAAAAAATGTATTTAATCCTGCCATACTGATGGCTGTAATAATAATTGTTTGCCTGAGAACGGTAACACTGGAAGCTAGGAAACTGCATTCTTCACACATATGCTTGATCTTCTCATGCACACTAGGGAATAATACATTCAACCAATTTTAGCCTCAAGTGAGGGTGGGTGGTGATTAACTGAAAAGTCAAATTCCGTTTTGCAACGTTTTTATGTGGATATGGGATTTTAAAACCAAAATTCAAAGCCAGATTATATTTCTTAAATGAATGTTTTACCTAAGTCTGTGTTTCTTCAACGCTGAAACTTCTGATGTTGCAAACTCGCATTGTTCACACGGATATTTAGGATTATGCTCAGCTCTCCTGTGCAGATATAGATTTCGTTTCTCAGGAAACATTTGGTCACATTCTCCACACTTGAAGGAAACCTTGCTCCCAACTCTAATCCCTAAAATTAGAAATACTAAATTTGATTATATGAAAGAAAAGTTGGATCAAGAAGATAAAGAACGTAGGTTAGTTTCCAGGAGAATTGAACAGAAAATAATAATAAATGAACCACTTGCATATTTTTGAGGGTTCGAGACTAAACAAAGATTATCAGGATCATAATAATAAATCTAACCTCTCTTGATAGGTTCTCCAGGTAGGTTTGATTCCTGCTTGAGTTCAGTTTCATCCTTGCAAGATGAATCTTCTTTTCCATCCTTCTCATCAGTTGGTTGATTGGATTCATCATTGTGATCTAATTTATACTGGCTTAATTTATCATTGTGATCTAGTTTATACTGGATTAATATATCATTGTGATCTAGTTTATACTGGTTTAATACATCATTGTGGTCTAGTTTATACTGGTTTAATACATCATTGTGGTCTAATTTATACTGGAGGTTTAATACATCATTGTGGTCTAATTTATACTGGATTAATATATCATTGTGATCTAGTTTATACTGGTTTAATACATCATTGTGGTCTAGTTTACACTGGCTTAATTCGTCATTTTGATCTAGTTTTTACTGAATTAATTCATCATCATTATCTATGAATTAAATAAATGATTGATTTCTGATATATATTACCTGGATCAGTTTCTGGTTTAATATAATTAAACTCAGGTTCTATACACATCATCTCCCCTAACCCCTCCTCACTAGACATATCACTATCCTCATCAACAAATTCATCTTCGTACTAAACCCAGGACAAATAGTAGAGTTGGTTTACCAGAGATCGAATCTAATATATTTTAAATCCGTGCATAATGTTCTCAGTTCTCCCAGCTTTAATTCAAAATTTAATGTTCAGTCGATATGACTAAACTCTATCTTTCATAAGTTTAAGCCTCAGGACGGAGATCAAACAGATTATTACCCAAGAATTCAATATTTTCAAAAGATTATCTGAATGGTGAATGTTAGTTAATTATTTTTTTTTGTGGGGGGGTGGGATTTATAATAACTCTCAAGATAAAGTTTATTTTTATTTTTATTAAATATATCTACTATTCTACTATTTATCCCTGTTGTGGCTGCGGCTGTGTTGGAAGTTGCTGTGTAGGTTGTGATGGCTGAGTAGCCTGCTGCAGTTGTGGTTGAGATGCCTGCTGTGGCTGTTGCTGTGGTTCACGTGACTGCTGATGATGTTGATGAATCTGTGCCTGCTGTTGAAGCTGTTGCTGCAGGCTTCGACCAGGTTCAAGTTGAGCCTCGAAACTATCCCGATTATCCCGATTACACCGATTAGCCTCAGCTAGCTCACGGGCATCGTAGTCCAGCAGCTGGTTCTCCGCCTTACAATATACCGGTGGAAGTATTTGTGGTTGTGGCGGAGGGTAAAGAGTTGTTGGTATTCGGTTCACAAGATTAGGATCTCTATACACACTATCATTAAACATAGCAGCATGGGAGGAAGGGATCAACATTCGGGAGAGATCGCCCAGTCCCCGGGATTGATCAATGATCCTCGGATCAAGATTTCTCGGGTCGGTGAAGCCTCGTGTATGATCTATAATTCCACGGTATGGATCCAGACCACGGGAGTGCTCCATCAAACCTCTATATTGATCACTGAGCAGTCTTGAGTGATCAATCACTTGATTATGATCTCCAAGGTGTCTTGAATGCTCGGAGAGGCCCCTAGAATGGTCCCCCATCCCCTGAGGGTAGTTGAGGGACATTTTCTCTGAAACACAAAATTTGCAGGTTACATTTTTAAAAAGAAACAAACACCCAAGCTTGCTTTAATAAAACAATGTGACTGATAAACAGGTTACAAATATTTTATCACATTTCTTAAGTTCAAAATACAATATTTCAATAACTAAAATAAAAACTAAAATAACTAAAATAAAAACTAAAATTGTAGAATGGACATTGTACAGTTTTTATTATTCTCTAAACAAATTATTCAAAAACATTTACCAAGCTTACCAAGCTAAGTAAGGCTTACATAACTTTACCAGGGGAGGGATCACAATTCCAAAAAAATGCCGAACAAATTTATTTAATCATTTTAGGCCATAATTTGCATTTCCTGGTAAAAAAGGTTAGCTTTACCTTAAAATTTGTGTCTATATTTTTTCCAAAAACAAAATTGTAAATAGAAGATTCATAAGTTTAGCTATTAGATAAACATTGAATTAACATTAACAAAATATTTTAACACAACACAGTACAAAAATATAAATATTATAAAGCTAGGTAAATGAAAAATATCAGTTCAAATTATCAAGTCAATAAATTGGTTGCTAGAATTTTCTACTTATTCTTGGAAGTTCTTATTGTTATAGAGAACATGGTTGATTGACAACAATATGTGCAATGAACATGAAGCGTACTCGATTAGGCGTCTATTTTCTATATTCTTTATATTGAGGGGTGGATTTTTCAATTTACCCCTTAGAGAATAGGGGGTCAGTGGCATGTAATCCTTAAGTTCTTTAAATGGTTAGGGGCAGATAAACCACTAGAATTTGGTTCCAAAATCGACTCACCATAATCTTTATGTATCATAGAATTAAAATGAATTGCAAAAGCAAGAATGTGAACAAATAATGACGGCCAATGGGAGGATAATACTGTGAAGGGACAAAAAGTTTTATTGTAAAACTAATTTAAAACCATAGTGTAAGTTTAAGAAACCCGATATCATGCTACCATATTTACAGTTTTTTTTACATCTAGTTTCGAGCAAGATGTCAAAACAGTTTTTCTTATTAAGTCAAAAAAACTAAGTTTAATGTAAATTTTGATTTCCTTTCATTTTAGGTTTTTACCATTCCCAACTTTTTCTTCTGTTTCATCTGATAACCGCCGTAGATCTTCAAAAACAAGGCAAAGAAGACGATCACAACTCCGCTCATCGACGCGGCAGTTATAGCGTGTTGGTAAACAATGCATGAGAGGAGTACAGCAAGAACCTGGCGTACTGTCATGATGATTGTGAAGACGACAGGTCCAAATGTACTGATTGTGTAATAGATGAACAGCTGACCGCAGGCAGAGCACAGCGATAATATTATACAATCACTTACAAACTGGAAAACAAAAATCTTATTATCGTCAGTATATTTAAAGGTCTGGAAAAAATTAAAAATACACTAAACTTGTTTCATGATCAACAATACAATAAACATTTTTGAAAAGAATGTTAAAAAATCTATAAACTAAAAACTTTATCATCTCAGGTAAGAAAGTTTTGAACTTAACTAGATCTTTTGTTATCGCCGTAATTAAGCTTTTTCGGAGAAATAAGAGAGGTTGTAGGGAAAATAATACTTTTTCTAAGAAAAGTAAAAAATTTAATGACTTATTTAGAGTTCTGCAGGGGTGTATATTAATTGTGAGACTCATATTTTTTCCCCCTCCTCCATTTTCAGAATCATATTTTCCCCAAATCCACCGCTTAAAAAACAGGTACATTTTACAGGGGGCAAACAGAAAAATATGCACTTCAGACCTGAGCAGGGCATAAAGAGCAATAAAGTAGGTTTACCTGGGGGAGCTGTGACATAAAGATCAATAAAGTAGGTTTACCTGGGGAACTGCGACATAAAGAGCAATAAAGTAGGTTTACCTGGGGGAACTGGGACATGAAGAGCAATGAGGTAAGGAAGACCCCCTGTTGAAGAAGAGATATGCTGGTCAGAAGACACGAGAATAAATTTATTCCTGAGATACAAGTTCATTAATTCTGCAAACATAAAAAAACTGCCCCCCCCCCCACAGAAAACAGTGATAAAACTTGCAAGTTTTCTTCCGCTTTAGCTAAGTTTTGAAAACCACCCCAGGTCCCCCACCCATCCATCAACAAGCTTCTAATGCTCCTCAGGAATGAGAGAAAAGGAGATATTCAAGTTCAAAGCAAAGTTTACAAAAGTAAATTAAATCACTTTCCTGCCATCATCTGAACGTGGGACATCTTGTATTCCTAAATAAAAAATATCTTTTTATTATTTGAATTTTTTCCAATCAAAATGTTAATAAAATTATAACAATGATATACTGACTTCAAACTCCGTATAACCGTAATTGAATAACTCAACAGAAAGAATAATATGCATAAAAATAAAGATAATAATAACCTTAAAAATAATGACAATGACGAAAATAAGGACAATGACGACGTCAACGTCAACGTCAACGTCAACGTCAACGTCAACGTCAACGTCAACGTCAACGTCAACGTCANTTACCTTAAATACTAATTTGACAATTGAAGCGAACCTTCCAGTCCCACGATCCAAGTATCCAGATTCTCGGACATATCTAAAATTTTAAGTTGTCGGGGTCAGTGTCAGGAACGCCAACGACAATGATAACAAAAAAAAACAATATTGATAGTAATAATAATAATAATAACCATAACTATAATAAAAAGAACATACGAGATTTTTGTGGCAGGTGTAAGACTTTACTTTGTGACAGACTTAATGAACTAAGATACTTAATGTGGCGTAATTGGGCGTAGAAATGGGTGTACAAAATTCAACCAGACTTATCCTAGATGAACCCTTAATGTAGCATAACTTGACAGGTTTTATTTGGACACTGGTCATTTAAATTTGTTAATTAGAAACTGAGAAATACCTTAAAGAGTGAATCCTGCCAGTTTGAAGTAAATGAATCGAAGGACATATATCCAACAAGGATAATTATCCCACTAACAGTAGTCACACTATCAGAGTGTGCTCCAGACTCCTTACCCAGCATGAAGGCAATCATACCGAGGGAGATAAGGACGGCCACCAGGTACTCGTAGAACTCATACTTCTTGTTTGACACGATTTTACCCATCAACATCACGGGGATAACTTTGCTTGCCTTAGCCAGAACCTAGACACATGGATAGGTTTTATATTAGGTTTCAGCATACATGGTGTCCCAGTATTAAAGACATTGAAATAATCTTCGATTTTAAAAATTAAGAACAACTGTTTGTATGAAAATGTGGAAGCAAGATGCGTAAGCTTTCTAAAATGTGGTCTGCCATCTTTGTATCATAAAAAATTAACAGATATTTTAGATTTGGGCTATATTTAATACGATGAAATTGAGTGTGGGACATCTTAATCAATTTTGAAACTAAAACACAGGAAAACTGGAAATCCCAAAATTCAAGAATATTGCTAACATTGTTTTGAGTATGTTTCTAGTATATTCAGATTTGTGATAGTAAGATTCGTGGATCAGAGACGATTATACGTAGTCATCTATCATGTTTATTTTTAATACTAGGTGATTTTAATGCTTAAAACTGTTAAAAATAAAAGAAGTAGGGTTTAGAAAAATTCTAAAATTTAGCCGACTCTGTTTCTTTCATAAAGTGAGTCGTCTTCAGTTACCTTTAAACAGAGGTTTACTAAAAAATCCATGAAGATCCCTTTAACCAACCTGTGTTGGGAAGCTGACGTACTTCAATGCTTCGTACTGGCACCAGCTGGACATTATATTAGAGAAACTACAGAAGGAATACTTGTAAAGGGGAGATTTATGCCTCGGCTGACTGGGAACACGGGCAAACCATTATTAATCAAACTTGACCTTCCATTTATAGAGGGGCATGTCCGTTTCACAATGGTACCATTAAAATCTTGATCTGTTCAATAGTGTTGAAAACAACGTGGTTTTTCTAGCGGAAAAGGTGTTCAATTTTGAAAATTTCTCAAATGTTTCTAAAGCAAGAAATGCGGGAGTCAGTTTTACAGAGCAACCAATAATGAAAACAATCAGTTCTCAAAACAAAATAAAGAAAATCTAATTCATACTTGACCAGACAAGGCGTTAAAGGGTACCATTGTGAATCGGACATGCCACACTATCAGGTCATTCAAAATTCCATATACAATCCCTTTCAGAATATGTTCAGGTTCACCTTTATAAAATTACAGACAATAACCGAATATTCGGAAACAACAGCTAAGCAGATTTCTATTTCCAAATTTTTTCTGTATCATTATGTTGTAAATTGTGTATTTTGATATTGTGTGTATTTCTGAAAAGAAGGAAAACCTCTTTTTAGCAAAATCGTTAAAATTAAATTTTAGCGTATGCTTGATAATAACTCAAATATTGATCTATGAGGGTTAAATTCCGAAATTGTCTGGTCGGAAACTTAAATTAAGTATGACTTTTATGATAAAAGATTGGTTGGACCCATTCCTGCGGAGCATAATGACAACCAGGGCCACAGCGAAGGCAAGGATTCTGTTGACGAAGACGAGGAACTGAGCGTCGGTGAATTTTTGCGTACTTCCTGCTGAGTCCTGGTACTCACGTGTCATTATCTTCTCCTGAGAAGATAAAAAAAAACAATATTATTTCTTTAATGAGAATTTTTCTTGGAAGTGCATACTATGATTGTATGGCGAGACAGTATTGTGTAATGATCATACCGGGTAACCGGATAAAGAAACCAAGGTATAGCAGCTAAAGTTCGTTAGCTACTTGGATTTGGGGTAAAAAGCAACTACCCCCCCCCCTCACCCAAATAAAAAAAACTACGATTAAACTAAATTTTTATTTGTAACAAATACAATGAAACACTGACTAGAAGAATACCCCAGGTGAGCAACTACCCCCCTCCCAAATAAAAAAACTACGATGAAACTAAATTTTTGTTTGTACAAACACAATGAAACACTGACCTGAAGTATACCCCAGGTAAGGTAGGATACTTGAAGCCCTCCAGCACAGAAGGTGAGCTGAAGGGTATCCTGGAGAAGGGTTCGTTCCTTCTTCTCATCTCGCTCAGTCTTAGCTAGTATCTCCTCTTCTACACTATCCTCACGACCCTAGTCAAACATTTTTCTCAAGAAACTAAATATTAAAGGGCCTGTTAAGTTAAAATGAAATGGGGTATAGGGTAAAGCCAAGTCTCGAGAAATTGATATCTATGTGTCCGAGTTATACGAAAAATCATATGTGATGTGGTATTTGAATCAAAGTTTAAACAGATCGTATTAAGCAAATACGGAACAAATCGGAAGATTGTGATAACCCAAAGGTGCCTAGAAATTTTAGACACGCTCCTTAAATAATTTGAATGCTTTAACTTTTCATATTTAGGTTTTCTTTTAATCTGCACGATGTACTTCTGACGACGATTTTTTGCCCGCTATGTGTCTCAGCTCAATATTTCATGGATTTTACTTGTCAGAGACACCTAGCGGCCAAAAAAAACATTATAAGCATTGACAAAGAATATATTCTCTAAAAAATCCATAAAACAAAATGTAGATTTAGGTTTTACGCACATCGCCCCCCCCCCCATGTCTTCAACTATTTTCTTTCAATATTTGGTTTATAAAACAAATAAAGTTTATTTTACCTTAAATACTAATTTGACAATTGAAGCGAACCTTCCAGTCCCACGATCCAAGTATCCAGATTCTCGGACATATCTAAAATTTTAAGTTGTCGGGGTCAGGGTCAGGATCATGGTCAGGGTCAGGGTCAGGTCAAATAGGGATTGGGTCAGTTAGTGTCGAGTCAGGACAAGTAGTAATTAGTTTATTTCAGGTCGGGCCTGATAATGTTATGATTGAGTTAGCTAGGTCAGGTCACTCGATCCTGTTACAGCCGAAGGCAAAACTTTTAATTAAAATTTTTAAACTTCTCCGGTGTCGTGCATCAGTTCTTCCCCTGCAATATCGGCAGAGCCTAGAAATCTTTGGTTTAGACGGATAATCGACTCATAATTTTCACCCTCGGGTATGGTCGGGTCATGTCAGGAAGAGTTGATCTGTTCGAGTTATGCGAGGTCTGATTCAGGTATGGTTGGTTCTTTTATAATGGGATCCGGTCAGGTATAGTGGGATCAGTTCAGGTTGGACATGCGAGAGACATCAAGTAGGTTGGGTGTAATCGAGTCGAGCCAGGGTCAGGTTAGGTCTGATAACCTACCTAAGTCCTAGGTATCCCGGGAGTAGAACAGTCGAGTATCCCAGCAAGTTTAGGAACAGTGTAACAAACCACATACTTTCGTCCTGAGATATAAGAGTTCTTAAAACATACGCGGCCTGTGCGCTTTACAGTGTACAGTGTACAGTACACTGTACATACTATACCGTACAAGGTTTTACAGTTTCTATTAACGACCATTCATCCCAAGGGCCTCCAATCTCCACGCGATCGAGAAAAGTAACAAAATAAATACAAAATAAAATAATCAAACATTAAAAATAATGTAACACGGACTAAAATGTCGGTAAATAATAACATTTTTGGTTTTAAGGAAAACTTTAAAAATAGTAAAATAATTTTCCCATAAATCAGCCAGCTATGTAAATGTTAATCCAAGTATATATATTACTGTAGAAGATACTGAAGCATGATTAATGTTTTTACCTTGCACCTGTAAAAATAAGGCATATATTGCACCTGGCCAAACTATTGAACTGCAGTGATATGGAGGGGGGGGGGGGGGGGGGGGGGGTAATTATACAAACCTGGACCGAGAGTTAAGAAAACTTGACTTCATCAAATGTTTCTGATAACTTAAAACTTTTAAGATAATAAGTGGTCTTCATATGGCGGGGAAAAGATTGTAAGCAAGTAAACTAAAATTTAAAAACTTCTACATGCAAGAAATACAGTTCAGTTTAAACAACTGTATGATAAGAATCATTGAGAATGGAGTGGCTGCTGATTTGAGAAAAACTGAAGCTACATCTGATCTATAGCAGACCACACATGAAGAAATCAAGATATTCTCAACATTCCTATTTGGAAGATGGAGAATTACTTCACAAGTATCAAGTAAGTATCAAGAAGTTTAAAAGCTTTTTGCATCAATCTAATTTTAGAGTTTATACTGGTTCATCAATGAAAAAGACCCCCCTCCCCCTAACCTTCTTCTGATTGAAACTAACCTTTTCGATGAGGTTCTGCGCCACATATGTTGTGATGTATATGGCGGTGCCCCATCCGAAGAGAATGGAGCACAACCTGATCTCTTCTGGCGTCATCTTAGTTTTTCATTATCATCTGCAACATTCATGCATTGTATACATCAGATGAATTATTAATTAATTAATTAGGACAAGGATTAATTACATCAGGAAATAAAATTAAGAAATAGAAGAACATTTTTGGCAATTATTTTTTGCTTTCCGATTTGAATTTAGATAAGATGCGTGTAAAGTGCATACACTATACTAAATATTAACAATATCACAATGACTAGATTAAAAGTTAACATGTAGAAATTTCATCAACATTTTTGTAAATTGAACAAATATGATAGTTCAAGTGTGAAACATAAAATATTTAGAACTTCAGTAGCGTGAGTACTGTGATGACTGATGACTGCATAGCTACCAAAAATATAATCTGACAAACTTATTTTTGCATTTTTGAGTTTTACTGAAGTTAAGCAAACTTAAAACAGCTAATGATTGTTAATGATATGTATTAGGTTGTAAGATTGCTTAAGATTAAATATTAATAATGTCAAAATAATCAGAGAAATAAGCAAATAAAAATTTAATTGACCGACCTCTGAAATTTGAGTGAAAATAGTGTAAATTTTGTTTATATTATAAAACTGAGGTTGTGTTAACAGCATTAATCAATAATCATCTTGTAGGAGTTAGTAAAATATTTTAGTAGTGACCTGGACGTGCCATCAGCCCACGTCTTAACACCTCGTTTTGAATTACAAACTCTTCTTTTCCTCCCTCTTTTGTTAACTTCACTAAAACAGAACCTCTCCAACCCGTTCAGATTAATTAGAGTTGATCTACTGCCTCTGCTCTTTTTACAAGAAATTTTTCAAACTCCTCAGTTGTTGAATCCTCCTGACCTCCAGGTTTACCTGCCCTGGGAGAACCTACAGGTACGCCAGGTACTCCAGTAGCAATTCCTGAGACTCCAGGTAGAACTCCTTCTGCCTCAAACTCCTTCCTCATCTCCTCAAGTTCCTCCAGTTCATTCAGGTCCTCCGTTTTCATCCATTTCTCTATTTCCTGAACATAAATGGCGTTGGAACATTTCATGAAAGAAATATCAAAACTTGACATTTTAAAATAAGAAATGCGATTAAATCTAAAAAACAAAAAACGATCTAAGAGACCTAGAGTCTAGACCGCCTACGGGGTTAAATAACAAAAAGACAATTCATAAAAATACCTGTGTAAGAAATATCAAGAAAGTTCATTTTGGAAAAGGATTTTTTAAAATTTCTTTATTTTTTAATTGTTAGGTTATAACAGGTGCATGTTTTTTATATTCAAAAATATTGTTCTAAATGCTGCAATGTTTTTAATCAGTATTTATCAAGAAATAGGTTTTTAACATATAATATAAAACGAAAGTTTAACTCAAAAAGTGTGACTGATAATAAAGCATGCAATATATACTTGAAAATCATCAGGTCGGCTGACCAGCGCAGCAGCATCTCCACTCACAGGTCGAGGTATTTCACCTCCTGTTGGTGGTATAAGCTCTGGTTTAGTAGGTTCAGGTTCTATTATCTTCGTGTTGGAAGGTTGACTTCTTTTAAATCTTTCAACCCTAGACAATATGTTAAATGTTTAATTGTTTATATCTAGAATTATTGAGTCTTGAGAATTTTGAAAAAGTTTTTGATAAACATTTTTGGATTTAATATGACAGTTAGTTCCTCCCGCCCCAACATAAAATCAAATCAAATCTGATTTTAATAGTTTTTCAAGAAAAGAAAATGAGAAAGCTCTTTTCTATCCTAACCTGATGAAGGCATTGTTGAAGTTGTCGTTTATATCCAACAACCTCTGCACTATCTCCCTCTCCTCCAGGATCTGGAGAAGCTGCAGAACCCGAGCCTGGCGTATCCAAAAATACAAATCATTATTAACATTCTCCCTACACTCTACAGTCAAAGTATCATGTCCTTCACGCTAAGGTTACGTGGAGCTTAACGGGTCTAGGGATAATAAATTAAGAACATTTTAGTTATTTTTTGGTCGAGTTTTTTTCTTTTATTATTTTTATTATATTTATTTTTTATCGTTTGCTTTTTTTTAATTTGGCCTTTCTTTTTTCTTTTTATGTAATTTTTTTTTTGGCTCTTTTTGTCCCAACAATAGAAACTAGAACAGATTATATCTAGATTTAGAAGTGCTTAACGTTGGCGCAGTTTTTATATCACACGGTATGTTTGGTACCTGCATCTCTTTACAGTTGATCTCTAGCTCAAGAAGCATGGATAAATCCTCAGGATCCTCCTTAACAATATTTTTAACTACTGTAAAAATATTAACAAATGATATAATAATAAAAAAATACCATAAAAGGAGAACAGATGACTGAGCTTGTTAAGCAAGAAGAATAATAACATAATTGTAGAAAATACTGTTTCACTTTAAAAGATAAATATTGTACGGGGAAAAAATTACATATTTAAAAAAAATAAATACTGCCCCTCAGAAATTATTTTTTTCTTTATCTCCAATCTATAATTTCCGTTGGCAATAAAAAGTAAAATTCAAGAATATTTGTTAGAATTGGAGGAACAAAGTATTGGATGGTTGAATGAAAGATGAATGAAAGGAAAGGATTAATAAATAAAAAAAGGTTTAAAGGACGTTGATTGAAGGATGATTGATTGAAGGATGAATGTAAGGGATAGATGAATAAATAAAAAGGATGAAAGGATGGTTGATTGAAGGATGAATGCAAGGGATAAATGAATAAATAAGAAGAATGATAAAAGGATGGTTTATTGAAGGATTAATGTTAGGAATGGATGATTAGATAAAAAGAAGGATGATAAAAGGATGGTTTATTGAAGGATTAATGTTAGGAATGGATGAATAGATAAAAAGAAGGATGACAGGATGATTAAATAAAGGATGAATGCAAGGGATAAATGAATAAATCAAAAGGATGAAAGGATGGTTGATTGAATGATGAATGTAAGGAATAAATTAATAATTATAAGGATGAAAGGATGGTTGATTGAAGGATTAATGTTAGGAATGGATGAATAAATAAAAAGAAGGATGACAGGATGATTAAATAAAGGATGAATGCAAATGTAAATGAATAAATAAAGAAAGGATGGTTGATTAAAGGATGAATGCAAGGGATAAATGAATAAATAAAAATGATGAAAGGAGGGTTAAATGAAGGATGAATGTAAGGAATGGATGAATAAAATAAGTATGAAAGTCTGATTGAACACACCTGTCCAGGAATAAGCTCTGTTAATAGTTCACTGAGTATACTAATACTATCCTCGCTTCTCCTGCCAAAATCAACCAAAATAAATCAGAATTCTATTCATGGATGATAACAATCTATTTTGAAGCCAGTTTGTTTGGTAAAAACTAAGAATTCTTTTTTTAAATTTGATAATTGACCAATTGATAATTCAGAATTACTGTGATAACTCTAGACCCTATCCTCATGTGCAGTGTACAGTGTGCAGTGTGCAGTGTTCAGTGTTCAGTGTACAGTGTACAGTGTACAGTGTACAGTGTACAGTGTTCAGTGTACAGTGTACAGTGTACAGTGTACAGTGTACAGTGTACAGTATACAGCGTACAGCGTACAGCGTACAGCGTACAGCGTACAGCGTACAGCGTACAGCGTACAGCGTACAGCGTACAGCGTACAGTGTACAGCGTACAGTAAACAGTTAATCCAGGTTAGGTTTGGTTAAGATAGATAGATAGGAAATTACCCCAAATCGAATTAATTTAGTCATACTCTGCAGGGGGATGGCTTAAGGCATCTTGCAGCATGTATGATAGAAATGATTAGAGTGGTTCATTTGACAATAAGCGATGATTATATAAATTGCAATTTAAAGGCTATTTTGAAAGATTACAACCAACCATTTATTAAGAAAAAATTTCTATATGGCTGATTTGCTTTTGTCTCCAAAACGCGGGGAGGGAAGCCGAGGGTATATTAGATTTATCCTCTTATAGGAAGGGGCGGTATTAAAAACTTCATTTTTGTTGATTTGCTATTATCTTTATCAAATGTGAATGTAAACAAATAGGTTGGTTTTGTTCCCTAAGGTCTTCATTTAGTTTTATCATCTGTCTCTGGGTTAGATTTCCAGACAGGATGCGTCTAGCAGCCTGCAGAAAATAAATGTTAGGTATTATTTTTTGATCTAAAATCCTCATTGTAATTAGGTTTATGAAATAATCGAACCATTATCTCATCAATAATGTGGAAGATATCGTTGTTTCTCTAGATTTAGAAGTTTTAATTTCTGATTATTCCAATACGTTTTTCTGCAGTAGAAATGTGCAAGTCACTTTGTAGAGAAAACCCGAATATAAAAAAAACCAATTTTCAATATTATTACCATTCATATATAATTCATAATTGATCAAGGTTTAAGGGTACCATTGTGAATCGGACATTGCTGTCTTGGAGTGGAGGTTCACCTGAAATTGTGCTTACAGTCCCTTTAATACTTTTCTTTCAATATTTGGTTTATAAAACAAATAAAGTTTATTTTACCTTAAATACTAATTTGACAATTGAAGCGAACCTTCCAGTCCCACGATCCAAGTATCCAGATTCTCGGACATATCTAAAATTTTAAGTTGTCGGGGTCAGTGCCTCCCAGGAAGCCCGGGCCGGATATAGGTCTTGGCAGATGTACTTAAACCCAACTCGTCGGAATTTCAAATAACCCTTCAAAGAGTTGTAAGTCCAATTCAAGCAATATTCTTAAAATCTTTATCTAAGCAGCAATGAGAACGATATCGAAGCATTCCTTATCTTGAAAAGAAATAGGTTTTTGGTCACTTTTACAGAAACTACAATTGATCAGATTGATAAATACAGATATCTACATCATTTTCCTAAGGCATGTCACTTTTTCAATGGAAGGTCTTATATACTAAACAAAAGGGAGAATCTTATTAATAAAAACAAGCCCTTTAAAAAAAGAGATTATAATATTGACCTGCATTCGCCGGGATTGGTCCGCAGATTTAGCTCGAGAAGCTGGTCGAGACCCAACACTCTAAATAGAGGAGCATTAAATATTTAGAGAAAAGGCGGAGAAAATATATAAGAAATAAACAAAAGTGAGAATACCCAACCAGTGCATACAAATCTAATAATCTCTACTAGTGAAATACAAAATTTAATTTAGTTTTCAGTTGACTTTTCCTTTTTTGAAGTATTTTTTTTCTGAAGGGGGGGGATTGTTAAAAGATAACCCCTCGTTAAGTATATAAGATGTCCTACCTGCCTGGCTGGGGATACTGTAACACTACTACTACTTGAACTACTTACAGGAGATGAAAACTCCATCTACACAAAATAATAATAATTTAATACAAGTGTTTCAAAAACAAATTTCAGGCTGATTACTCTGGTAACAGTTTTTCTATGGTAACATGAAGATCGAAATATTTATAGACAACACGATATTATCTTGAAAAACACAACCAACATATAGACGACCACTTTTCTTGCTTAAAATCAAATCAAATCATATTTTACAGAAACTGCTTTAGGCATCCTTCCTTAAAGGAGGGGGCTTAAAGGGACTGTAAAGGTAAAATGAAAGGGGGTATAGGCTGAAAGCTAATCACTTTAGCTCTCGATCGCGACCCATGAAAGTTATATCTAATGTTCCTATCTCGAGAAATTGATATACAACTTGGTCAAATTTATACGAAAATTAATATATATACAATTTTGTATAAAAGTAATGGGTTTAGATAGATAAAATTCAGCAAGTAAGCAACCAATCTGAAAACAATGATATCCCAGAGAAAGCTAATTGTAACTTACGTTTACTGCAATTCTAATTTTATATTTGTTATTTCTATTTTTAATAGATTTAATTCATAATATAATTTTTAAGTCCGTATTACTTGACCAGAAATTCCACCAATGGCAGTGCAGTAAAGTGGTCACGTGATACAGGCGGAGACACGTGACCAGTATACTGCTCTGCCATTGGTGATAGTTTTGGTCACGTGATTTAAGTTTCAGATTTTCAAAATTTTACATATATGAATTTTCGTACAATTTTATCACAGATTTATATCAATTTCTCGAGACAGGAACATTAGATAAAACTTTCATGGGTCGCGATCAAGAGCTAAAGTGATTAACTTTCGGCCTATACCCCCTTTCATTTTTCCTTTACAGTCCCTTTAAGAAATATGAAAATCATGTTTCTATTGGTTCAATCTAATGTTTTTTTCCCCAGAAAAATAATTGTTTGAAGAAAAATAATTAAAAGATGTAAAAAGCTTTTAACTTCTAGTTTCGCCATAACATCGCAAAGTTTGGAAAACCAATATTTTCCTCGCTGAGAAATTAAAAAAGGAACTAATTGATAATCAATGACCCTACAGTGAAGGAGTGAGTGAGCATTTAACAATCGCATAGTTTGATAAAGAAAGAAATGATTTCCCAACTAACCTGATTTTTCTGAACTAGAAGTATATCATCATCTGAAGGAGGAGGAAATTCAACACCTAGGATATAACCAAATTTTTAAAACCAAAACCAAAGGTAATTCGTTACATAAAATTTAAAATATGTGTTTTTTTAGCCCCGTCTTAATCTTTGTCAACATGTCTTTTAAGAATCTTTCTGTATAATATTTTTGAACTTTGTTTCATTAACTCTCAGATCTTCTATTTGTTAAGCATCAAAAGGTACATTAAACTTTTATAGCTGAGTTTTATTGTGAGTATCAGTTAGTGAGAATGCCAGAAACCATATTTAAAGAAATGCTGTAAATAAGAAAATTCGAATTTTCAATACCTAATTATTAGAATTTTCAAGAACTATTTATTCGAATTTTCAATAACTATTTATTCGAATTTTCAATAACTATTACTCTATGACAAGTAATCATTTAGTATTTACCAACCTTTCTTCTTGAGCTCCAGGTATAGTTCAGCTACACCCTGCAGTTCAGGGTCTACGGAGAATGCGTGAGCCCAGGACTGAACCAAGGACAGTATCTTGTCCTGGACCAACTAAACATAGTTTTTAATAACTAATACTAGGGGAACCGAGCTAATGGAACCGAACTTAGAGGTTATCACTTATCGGACCTAATTTTCAACATATCGAGTAATTTAAACCGCCGAATCCTTTAAATCGTCCTGATTCTGACTCCCCATTATTTCTCCGTCCTGCTTTACTAACATGGTTTAGTGTAGCTTAATCTATTGTATTATCTAGTCCAGTATGAAACCATCTTGTCAGAAAGCAGGTAGATACGTTTCCCTCTGCTCTGATGAGCAGGATAAAAGTTTCCAAAAAATCATAATAAATAATAATGTATATAAATGTCTAAAAAATGTTGCAGGTTTACGAGGATCAAGGTCTAGAACTGGCAAAACTTATATTCTCTTTTTCTTCTAAAACATGGGTACAAATCTTAATAATTTCGTGTTTATTTCAGATGCAAAAAATTACCCATTTTCATAAATATTTATAAGCTGAATGTGCCATTGTCTACCTGAGATTCACCGTCAGCACAGAGAGGGATAATCTTGTTAACCAACTCATTAGAAAATTCCTGAAAATCAGACTATTTCAATTCCAACAAAAAAAAATCAGACTAGCTCAGCAAATAATAGGAAATTAATTTCATAAAATAAAAATAAATATCAAAAACGGTTTTCAACATTCTATTAATTATATTTCATACACAAGAGTATGATATTGACAAGCTATAATGATGATGAATTTTTCACATATTTATCTACGAAAATTTTTGTAACATCGTGTCGGAACGGTAAAAATAGTAACAACTGTCAAAAACTTAACGTTCCGACAAAGGACAGATTTCCACTAACTAATTTTTAATAATAATTAGTTTAAACAAGTGTTTTATGAATGCATCACCTGTTAGCAGCTACTTCAAAATTAATTATTATTTATTCCAGGGGTAAACTTGAAATATTTAAAGATGCCGATCCCGCCCTCTTCCTTCATTCAATGAGAACTATGACATTTTTTTCTGATTTGTTTCCACTACCCTCTACCTACTCGAACCAACAAATAAAAACCCCTTACAAAAGGTAAATTCATTATCATCATTCAGCAACCAAATTCCCGATCATTTAAACAGCTTATCAAAACAATGTCTTTTTTTGACCCCCCCCCCCCCCTACAAAAAAAAATAGTATGGTAGTCTTACCCTGCTGCAGATAAGAAGATGAAACCGTTTCCTAAAATAAAACAAGCATGATACAAATCAAATCCACTATCATCAAATCAAATAAAATTGTAAAAATATAAAATCTGAAATAAGCAAAGGGTTTTAAGAACTATTGGCATAAAAAAAAGATTGTAAATAATTGAGATCTATGATTGATAGAGGTAAAGGTGATAAAGTAAGGATATTTTCTTACCCGCAGTTTTTTGCCAGAGTTTCCGTCAGAACTAAAGAATAGAATACACTTCCTTCATCCTTACCAGCTGTATTTTGTATTCTAGAAGATCTATTGTTTATATGTAGATAAACATCAATCAATCAATAAATCAATAAACACTTTCCTTTTTAGTATGAATGTAAATGGATGGGTAAAGAATGAAGATGTATGAACTATGTAAGGATGAATGTAAATATATGGATGGGTGAAGATGTATGTTCTATGTCAGGATGAATGTAAATGAATGGATGGGTGAAGATGTATGAACTATGTAAGGATGAATGTAAATTTATGGATGGGTGAAAATGTATGTTCTATGTCAGGATGAATGTAAATGAATGGATGGGTGAAGATGTATGAACTATGTAAGGGTGAATGTAAATGAATGGATGGGTTAAGATGTATGTTCTATGTAAGGATGAATGTAAATGAATGGATGGGTGAAGAATGAAGATGTATGAACTATGTAAGGATGAATAAGTGAATAGCTAAATAGAAGATATAAGGTTGAAAGGATGGATGGTAGCGTGAAATATATTAGAATGAATGGATTTGGAATTATTGTTGCGTTTAATTTCTGTAGAATTATCAGACATGTGTAGTGCAGAATGGAACGCTCAAAAAGCTCAAAATTGATTTTAAGTCCTAAAATAAAAGTTTATGTGCGCAATAAATAATTTATTTTGTCCAATAATAACCCAAAAATGTTTTGCGTAAACGCTGCGGGGAAAAATTAGTTTATTAATGTTTTTTTTTAATGATATTTTCAGAACTAACCTGCGTCGTATTGCCCGTACAGCCTCCCTCGGACCATCGTCTGTATTATTTACTAAAAATATAAACGTTGTAAGAGGGTTCAACTGTAAGATCTGAGGATCTTTATAAACTAATGTGTGTTCAGGGTGTTCAGCGACAAGACGTTACTCAGTGTGTTCAACCAGGAATTCTCTACAAACAATCGATCAATCACACGGAACTCTACATGGACAATTTTTTACTAATCAATCACGTGTTCAATTCAATAATTAATTGAGATTTTTAATATACAACTATTTAAAGGCCAATTTTTATAATGAATAACCTGATTTTATTTTATAATGCAGAACCTGAGTTTTATGGTTAAAATGTTTTATGATTTAACATATATGTATAATATTTAGCCAAAACCTATATACTGTCTCGCCAAAGCCTAATTAAAATCTAGCCTAAGCCTCAAAAAACTGTAAATAATGAGTTTTATCTTTCAGAACACAATGGGTTAGTTGCCCCCTTTTAACCTGAAATTGTGTCTCTTTCTCCAGGTCTATAAATCATCCGTAATAAATACCAAGGCTAATAAACGTTGAATGCTCTTTACACAACGTTGCAAAATTTTATTCCTACGGATGGTTTATAAAACATATGTAGATAATTGTGATTGTTGTGATTCCTCTAATTAGTTCCGGGCTCGTATCCGTGCTTTAAACCAGGTGAAAAATTTGCAAATGTCTAAAATGAGCTTAAATAATATCCTGACTTCTCACAAATCTCTCAACATAATTCTCATGCTAGGCTGGCACGAGTCCCGTTGATATACAACCTCGACTTGCTCCGCTGACTCGCGGAGAAGTTCTTAACTCCTGAGATGGTTCCTTCTCTTCTACTCTGAGATGGTTCAGTTCTCTTCTACTCCCACCTACTAATCTTGACATCCTGAGTCTAAGGAAGTCTATATAAAGGTGAGGATCAAAGCTCACAACCTTTGAGCTCTGGAACTCGGTCTAATTAGTTCTATTTAGACCTCCGTTGTCAAGACTCCGACATCACCGGAAGCTGAGTCATCCTTGTTCTCTGGATCCTCAGCTTGTGCTCCAGAATATCCTGCTGGTGCTCTAGAGACCCATATACCTCTACGTACCAGGCCTGCACAACTTTGGCTTAGTTGTATCCTTTTCTCCGGTTTCTCCGACGAGAAGAACTTTTGCTCCCCTCCGATACCTCCACGGAAGGGCTCTCATTCTGTATCCCTGGTCTAGCTCCTCCTCTAGATCAAATACAGGTAATAAATCTAAAAATCACGATGCTTGTGATGAATGTGAGAAAGTCACCACTTAAAAAAGGATATTTGAAGTGACACATGAAAACTTCGATCGGACTAAATAAGCTCATTTTTAGTTATCCTGTTCGCGACTGCGGAGCAATTTAATGAACTATAGGCTACAAACCTCTGGACAAATCAACATTGTAAGTTTATTTTCTTATTATATAAATAATTTAATAGTTAACCTGGAGAAAGTTTTATTTTAAAAGGCTAAAATTTTATTATTGTCATGCATATAATTAACCCTGGACTGATTTATTGTGTTTTCAGTTCACGGTTGAGTCCTGTATAAACTGCCTACCTGAAATATATACATAAGATTTAATCAGTGCAAATAGAGGTGAGCGGAAGAGAAAGAGTTCATGCTCGCTCTTATGTTTGTAGTTATTACCTGGTCTCCTATAGGTAAAAATGAGCACATCAACCTATTGTTAATAAACCAATTTTATTTGTCACAAAATGGCCGAGGAAAAGGTGATAGTTAGAAGTTATTATTTGATTGCATACCTTGATCTACAATACTAAGGTTCAAGTTCCAATCAATAGAATTCAGATTCTCGGAGGTTGCAGCTAGAACCTGGACAGGAGAAATATTATCAAAATAATAAATCTATTTCAATACAAGATACGTAATTAAGTATTAATGTGTTTGTCTGTCAAATCATAACTCATGAACCCCTCAACGGCAATTTTTTATTGAGGAACTCCTTAAACCCACGGACATGTATTTAGCTTGGTTTTGATTTGGTCGACTTCCAGGCAAAGCTGGGTTCCCAAGCTAGTACTAGATTAAGTCCGGGTGTTTCCCGTGGTACTTTAAATTATCATCTTTGAGCAAGGCAATGTCATGTGTCATGTGTACCTGACGTCCTATCGGTGTGGCCAATGGGTCTCCCCCAAGTCCTAGAAGCCCCCCAGCACTGTCAAGCAGGGTGTTCAGGCTAAACGCCATCCCTCATTAAATTGCTTCCCTACTCAAGTTTATATCTCTGAAAGTAAAAAATTGTTTAGTCTTTGGTTCTTGAACCCGTTTTCTTATGAGATCATATTTGACCTTCTGACCATACATTGTAAACTGTACAGTTCAAAATCTACATAATTATAATAAGTTAAACCACAGCATTCTTGATATAAATTTAGTTTGCAAATCGAACTTTCAATCCTCTAATAATAGTTTTAAACTTTCTTTGCATTCTTTCTTGAGCATAACTTCGATCTTGTTTTTGCTGACAAATGCTGGCATTAGAAGCATTTCCATGCTGTCAATTAGTTTGAAGAGAACCAATCCGTATTCCAATCCTTGTATCTTCTCCAGGACGGTCGGAGATAAATCCTCGGGTTTAGGACACGGTTCCGATACGAGAGAAGCGAAGACCGTCCTCGAGACTTCTATTTTCCGGTGTGATATAAGATTACCAAGAAGATGAATACTACCAGAGAGAAATTTATATTTAAATCGCATCTTACGTCCCTCTCGACAAAATATTTGCGTACCCAACATTGCACAATCAATACTGGGGTTATTACGAACAAAGTTCTTTAACACATTATTTACAAAATACACATTTCGCGCTTTTTTGCGATCCTCTGACCATGTGAGAAGATTTGTGTTGTCTAGTTCAATACCAAATATACTCTTAAAGTCGTCCAAGTCCTTAAAGTCAGCGTAAAATTTGTTCTTTGTTTTCTGAATACAGATCGGAGAGTTTAAAGGTGTTGGCGCAGGAGTTCTTTGCGCGCGTGGTTGCTTGTTTTCAAAATAGCGGATTTTTCTAAAAATGGCAACAAAGAAGCCTCCGTCGTCGTTATGGTGAGGAAGGAAGCGCATAGTTCGGTCAAGTTTAAGATATCGTGTTCCTGAATGGGGAAACATTTCTTGTCTGATCTGTCCTCTGAATAATGTTTAATAAATAATTTTAAATTTTTGACGTTCATGATTATCCAAACCAAATAGAGTACTAGGTGTTGGTTTAACATTTTTTAGAAGTTTATTTCTGGATCGACCATTTTAAGTTCTTTTAACTTGTTTCAAAACAGATTTTCAAAGATTTTTGGAACACAAAACCATTTATCTTAAAGACAACGTTCGTAAGAAATGAATCTTATTTATTAAATAAATGCCTGAGATTCTCTGGTACAGAATGATAATCTTTATACTCGTTCATATTCTTGTCATGAACCCGCCAGTGATCTAACCCTTAATATAATCAATATAAGATCATGAACTACGTAAGTAGTACAGTGGTCGGCGTTTCTATCAATACAATGAAGACGACTTTTATTTTTCATTACTAACAAGCTTTTTCAAATTAAATTAAACCTTTGTAAAAGAAAATAAACTTCGGAGAAAAAATATGAATAAGTCCTTCACTCTCTTCAAGCAACTAAACCAATTAATTTACGATTCTTAGAACGATCAGAGACTTAATATTACAATCAGTTGCTGTATTGAAATCAGTTATAAATCAGTGTAATAAAGTACAGTACCTGCGCTACCACTGCTTCGTTCTCTATTTGATTCATACTGCAGCTACTGTACGCCATCAGACCCTCCTCCTTGATAAAAAAAATAAATGATCATCAATATTCACAAAATAAAAAAGTACATTTTCAAGATATCAAATATCACTCAAATATCACCCAATCATCCCCCCCCCCCTTATCCATGTTTTTATTAAATTCCTATTCCTACCTTAAGAAGATGAACTCCACGTCGGGCAATATTTAGCTGGAGAGAAAATCTTTCATTCCCTCGCGCTAAAAGAATAGAAGATAATTACGTGCTAATTAAGTTTTACCTGAGCTGTAATTTTTTGAAATTTTAATTGTTAATTGCAAAATTCTCCCCCTAAAGTATCGTGAATTATATATATATAAAATATACGTACTTCTAATTACAAAAAGCACGGTGACGAAAACAATCTTTTCTAATACCCACCTAACGCAAAATAACGTTTTTTTATATCTCTGTTATTTACTTAAGTACCTGGGTTCCAATTGTTCCAGACATTGGGATTTTTCCTGATAGTTCCGTCCCCGGAGCAGGGAACATCACAGATTATTCTAGAAACAAGGAACATTAGATTATTCTAGAAACAAGGAACATTAGAATATTCTTGAAACAATGAACATCACAGATTATTCTAGAAACAAGGAACATTAGAATATTCTTGAAACAATGAACATCACAGATTATTCTAGAAACAAGGAACATTAGAATATTCTTGAAACAATGAACATCACAGATTATTCTAGAAACAAGAACATTAGATTATTCTAAATGAACATCACAGATCATTCTAGAAACAAGGAACATTAGATTATTCTAAATGAACATCACAAATTATTCTAGAAACAATGAACATTCGATTATTCTAAATGAACATCACAGATCATTCTAGAAACAATGAACATCACAGATTATTCTAGAAACAAGGAACATTAGATTATTCTAAATGAACATCACAGATTATTCTAGAAACAAGGAACATTAGATTATTCTAAATGCACATCACAGATTATTCTAGAAACAATGAACATCACAGATTATTCTAGAAATAAGAACATTAGATTATTCTAAATGAACATCACAGATCATTCTAGAAACAAGGAACATTAGATTATTTAAATGAACATAACAGATTATTCTAGAAACAAGGAACATTAGATTATTCTAAATGAACATCACAGATTGTTCTAGAAACAATAAACACTAAAATATTCTGTAAACAAGGAACATTACGAACCATTGAAATATTCTCAATAGTATCCTAAAAAACCTTTATCTGGCCAATATTGTGGAAGATAACATCGTTTTTCTAGCTTGACAAGTATTTGATATTGATAAGTCCTACATTGTTTTCCTGCAGCAGATATGCGCAAGTCACTTTTCTAGAAAATCCACATTTGAAAATAATAAATTTTCGAAAATATAAACACGGTTATCTAATTCATTCTTGATCAGACAATATTTTAAGGTTTCCGTTGTGAATCGGACATGCCACTCTATAAATGAGGGATTACTAGAAGGATTACGCCTGCAAACCTGTGAAAATGAACCGAGCTAACCTGTCGAACAGCAAGGGTTGACCGTCACCCTGTTTCATGTCCGGGATATCCTCACCTGTATAATGAGAGCTAATGTAGCTTTAGAATTTGTTTATATTTCGGAGAAATGAAAAACATACTCCCGTGATATTACTGTCATAACTAAAATTTTTAATTAATTGTAAAATTAAGCTTTACTAATAATTCAGACAACGCTCACCTCTGAAATTTGTGACCATGATACAAGGAGATGAAAAAAGCTTCATATTTCCCGCCAAAACCTTACATCGTTTTAAATCCGGTTCATTAGCGATCAGAAACCCTTTAAACCACAACAGTTCAAACAGAAGAAAAAAAAAGATCAAACTCAAATGGCAACTTTCTAAAAAACAATCTAATTCAATTTGCAGAAAAGAAATCATTAAATAAAATCTATTAACATCCCATTCTTTTGCAACGATTCTTTCATTGCTAAGATAATTTAGAATTTTCATCATGTCGGTAAATTTCTAAAAAGTTTGTGTCCAAACTAATCTAAAAGGAAATATAAATATTTTAAAGGGGGTGGGGGAGGCAAATAGCTTAGAGGTTTAAATAAAATTTTTCATTTATCAATAAATAAGTTTATGAAGATTTTTTTTTTATAAAAATAAATGTCTCGGACAGTTAAAAATCTATTGGATTTCCTGAGGGTATTTCTCCTTGAAATAATCTGATCTGCATTGCCTCTAACACCTTCATAACATAGAATGTTCAAAACACTTAAAGGGACTGTTAACGTAATTTAAAATGATCCGAAATCTCTCTAACACCATTTTTAAAAAAAATTTGTTTTGTTTTGGGAGTTGTACTCCATTGTCTAGCAGTTGCTCTTTCAGAAACCAAACTTGATAAAGTTATAGGGATTCTCTTCCAGGAACCACACTTATAGGGGTTCTCTTCCAGGAACCACACTTATAGGGGTTCTCTTCCAGGAACCACACTTATAGGGGTTCTCTTTCAGGAACCACGCTTATAGGGGTTCTCTTCCAGGAACCACGCTTATAGGGGTTCTCTTCCAGGAACCACGCTTACAGGAGTTCTCTTCCAGGAACCACGCTTATAGGGGTTCTCTTCCAGGAACCACACTTATAGGGGTTCTCTTCCAGGAACCATGCTTATAAGGGTTATCTTCCAGGAACCACACTTATAGGGGTTCTCTTCCAGGAACCACACTTATAGGGGTTCTCTTCAAAGAACCACGCTTATAGGTTCTCTTCCAGGAACCACACTTATAGGGGTTATCTTCCAGGAACCACACTTATAGGGGTTATCTTCCAGGAACCTCACTTATAAGTGGTAATATTATCAAAAAGGTTTAAAGATTATTTTTATTATTTTAGACATGGCATTCTTTTTAAAAGGAGCCTCACTTAAAAATACGTCAAAAGTCCCTTTAAAGGCTTAAAATAGTAACAGGGATATTTGTTCAAAATTAAAACGGAGCTAGTAAGTTAAATTTAAAATCATTCAATGTTTGAATTTTTCTAATTCTAATTAATACTTTGATATGAGAGGAAAGAAGGTTGAAAAAATATGGCGATTATATGGGAATGGCGTGAGACTTCACTGGTACATTTTATGAACTTAGATACAATTCCTGGTAGATTTTATGAACTAAGATTTAATTCTTGGAAATTTTACGGACTAAGATACAATTCCTGGAAGATTTTACGGACTAAAATTCCTGGAAGTTTTTACAGACTAAGATTCAATTCCTGGTAGATTGTATAGACTAAGATATAATTCGTGGTATATTTTATGGACTTATTAACTACCTGTCCTGTTTTTGAACCAGGGGACGCACACATATCTACAGATCATTCATATACGTTTGTAAAATGAATATAAATGAATAAAAATGAATGATAATGATGATTATAAATGAAAATAAATGTTTATATATCAGTTAAATTAATGATTTAAATGGTTAAAAATAAATATAAATGATTATAAGTAAAAATAAAATGAATTTTAATGATAATTTATAAACAGATATAAATTATTATTAATAAAAATAAATGAATATAAATGAATTTAAATGATTGCCTAGAACAGCATGGTTAGGTTGAATGATTTCAAGGGGTTGTAAACGATTACAAATGCTTTCAATGAATATTGATGATAATAAACAATACATATGAATACAAGTTATTGTAAATGAATATAATTGAATAAAAATGAATGATAATGAATTGTTATAAATGAAAAAAAAATGTTAATATATATGTTAAATAAATTATTTAAATGGTTAAAAATAAATATAAATGATTATTTATAAATAGACAAACGATTTTAAATAGTCATAAATAAATATAAATAATTATAAATAAAAATAAAATGAATATAAATGATTATTTATAAAGAGATATCAATGATTATTATAAAAAAATAAATGAATATAAATGATTGCCTAGAACAGCATGGTTAGGTTGAATATCTAGGCAAGCAACAGGGACCATGGAGACCTAGAGTAAAAAATAATTCTAATCAAGTAAAAATATTTTGTAATATATTTTATGCCTGCTTCATCCTATATATTATATAAACCCTCCAATTATAAACCTGTTCCATCCTATCTATATTGCCAGTAAGCCTTCAATTATGAATTTGCTCCATCATATAAAGATATTGCCAGAAAGCCTCCTATTATATACCTGCTACATTCTATAATAATAATAATAATAAGCCTCCTATTATGAATTTGCTCAATCCTATATATATTGCCAGTATACCTCCAATTATATACCTGCTACATCATGGATACATAATGCCAGAATACCTCCAATTATATACCTGCTCCATCCTGGATATATATTGCCAGTATACCTCCAATTATATACCTGCACCATCCTGGATATATATTGCCAGTATACCTCCAATTATATACCTGCTCCATCCTGGATATATATTGCAAGTATACCTCCAATTATATACCTGCCAGTATACCTCCAATTATATACCTGCTCCATCCTGGATATATATTGCCAGTATACCTACGATTATATAACTGCTCCATCCTATATATATATTTGGGTGTCCCATTTTGCACCCAAAAAATTTGTTTGAGCTAGGTTGATGAGAAGTGCTTGCAAGCATCGTGCATTTTCAGATTTTAGGCCCAACTCGTTCGATACGCGCGTAGTTGGATTTTTTTTCTTCACAAAAGTTGAACATATCATTTGCAATAAATCCAATTCTAATGTATTTAGACGTTTAAATTTCTAAAATTGGTTGATAAATGAAGATTCAACATAGATGTTTGATAAAAAAAAACCTGCACTACAAAATCTGGAATATTTCAACCATTTTAAGATCTGAACAAAAAAATCACCAAAATGAGCAATTTCACATCGATCATAATATCATTCATGTTATTTGTAAGGGGGAGGGTATTTACCAAGGGCATATACGGGGGGGAAGGGGGCAGTGCATCCCCCTATACCTGTGAAGGGGGGGGGGGCGTAGCATCTCCATCCTGAGCCAACTGGTTGATATTACATTGGAATTGATATCTTTGTTGTTCCCTGGTATACCTTGGCTATCCGCCCCGATATGCCCATTGACATCTCCAGCAAGTGAACATGTATACCCGTCTTCTCTAAGAGCTGTTATTATTGTTAGTAATATTGCACAAAGCTCTGCTTCCAAACTTGGAAATTATCCCCTCCGACTTCGGGTGCCAAGTACACAACGCATATTGCTACATTGCTATTGTTCTCGTGGATTAGTATCCACTCTCGCTCATTGTCCAGGTAGGGATACATTGGTAATGGCAGTTCATAATGTGAGTGGTTGAGGTCTGATTTTAGTATGGTTAGTATTCCGCCACCTTTCTTTTCCTTTCCTAGCCTCTCTTTAAAGTACCATGGGAATTTATCTAGACTAGAGAGGTCGTCATTTGACACCTGTCTCAGATGCGTTTCACTCAGGCACAGGACATGTAGGCTCTCATCATTCATGACCTCCATGATCATGTCCTGTTTAGTGTCTCTTGTGAGACCGTTGCAGTTCCATATTGCACACTTAATGCTAGTGTACATGGCTACTACTTTAGGCGTTTGTCTGTTCCTTAGAAGCCGTTTTTCACGGTTCCCATTCCAGGGTTTACCTATTGCTGGGTTCGTGTAGGAGTGTCTCTGTTAAGATTAATTCTTTTTTGTAATTTTCCTTTTTAGTAATTCTTTACAACTTCAAAGCGGAAACTTTTTTTGCCCCCCCCCTCCAGGAGCTCCTAAGGGGGGGGGGGGGGGGCAACGTTCGGACTGTAAACTCAGGACATTTGGCTTCTTGGATATATTTTTCCCTCTGAAAACTGACACCAAAAGGAACAATATTAGCTGCATTGGTTTCTGTGGTACAACTGGGTGCCAAATGGGACAAACTAATGTATATTACCATAAAGCTCCAATTTATACCTGCTCCATCCTATATATAATGTCTTTAAGCCTCCATTCAATATACCTGCTCCATCCTGTATATATTGACAGTAAACCTCTGAATAATATATCTCCTTCATCCTGTAAATCTAGCTAATTAAACTCCAATTATATACCTGCTCCATCCTATATATATTGCCAGTAAGTCTCCAATTAATATACCTGCTCCATCCTGAATATATTACCAGTAAGCCTCCAATTACATACCTAATCCATTCTGTATATATTACCAGTAAGCCTCCAATTATATACCTGCTCCATCCTGTATATATTGCCAGTAAGCCTCCAATTATATACCTGCTCTATCCTGTATATATTGCCAGTAAGCCTCCAATTATATACCTGCTCCATCCTGTATATATTGCCAGTAAGCCTCCANGCCCGACCGCCGCCAGGCGGGGGAAGCACCATCCCACACCCATTCCAAATACCGGACCTTTAACCCCCCACTAGTTTTTCCCCAGCTGGGGGAGTCAAGGAGATAATTCCGGTGGTTGGCAAACCAATCAAACCCATTGGTTGGTTGGTATCTGACAAACGTTAAGGGGAAACCAAGAGTTTTACCCCGGGTTTAATAGGGATCCTGCTAACTAAATTTTACTGGGTATTCACAATAAGAAACCATTTAGAAACAAGGATGGGTTTAACATAATATACGCAAAGGATGAAGATTTAGAGACACATAATAAGATTTTATTAAACCTTTTAAATTCTTTTATTATAATATTAATTACATAATCATATCATTATTTGAAGAACGATTTTGTTAAAACAAATCTTTGTTTTTAAAATTGAGTGTTCGCGAAAAATGAAAGGGGGTATTGAGCTATAGAGATTTTAACTTTGAACAGTTAAACTTTTGCTTTAAACCTATGAGATATCAGACATTGTTTACATTATACTTGTGAATTAAGTATTAGCAACAAAGTAATTAAACTAGGTACGAACAGTTAAACTATTTCTCTAGCGTAACCGATAGTTCACAATATAAGTAGTTCTATACAATATACATGACCAGTTCAAGTTTATTAAATCCGACCTCTGACCTACCTTGAGATATTAAACTTCCAAGTATTATTATCTGGATACCAGGTTACAGGTTCAACTCCAGCTGCAGTAAAATATCCAGACCTAGAGCAAACTTACTTTTCATCCCGACCATACACATTACTCATACACGTCCTACTTTCAGCCGGTCTTCTCATATCCTTCCTACTTTCATCCCAATCCTTCTCATACCATTCCTACTGTCGTCACGACCTACTCATACCATTTCTACTTTCATCCTGACCCTATTCATACCATTCCTACTTTCATCCTGACCCTACATATACCATTCCTATTTTCATCCCTAACCTACTCATACCATTCCTACTTTCATCCTGACCCTACTCATACCATTCCTACTTTCATCCCCGCCCTACTCATACCATTCCTTCTTTCATCCCAACCCTATTCATTCCATGCCTACTTTCTTCCCTACCTTACTCATACCATTCCTCCTTTCATCCCAACCCTATTCATTCCATTCCTACTTTCATCCCTATCCCACTCATACCATTCCAACTTCCATCCCGTCCTACTCAAACCATTTCTATTTTAATCCCTATCCTACTCATACCATTCCTACTTTCATACCGTCCTACTTTCATCCCTATCCTACTCATACCATTCCTATTTTTATCCCCGCCCAACTCATACCATTCCTTCTTTCATCCCAACCCTACTCATTCCATTCCTACTTTCATCCCTACCCTACTCAAACCATTCCTACTTTCATCCCGTCCTACTCATTCCATTCCTACTTTCATCCCTACCCTACTCATACCCATCCTACTTTCATCCCTACCCTACTCATACCCCTACTCATACCCATCCTACTTTCATCCCTACCCTACTCATACCCATCCTACTTTCAACCCTACACTACTCATACCATTCCTACTTTCATCCCTACCCTACTCATACCATTCCTACCCCACTCATACCATTCCTACTTTCATCCCTATCCTACTGATACCATTCCTACTTTCATCCCGTCCTACTCAAACCATTTCTACTTTCATCCCTACCCCACTCATACCATTCCTACTTTCATCCCTATCCTACTGATACCATTTCTACTTTCATCCCGTCCTACTCAAACCATTTCTACTTTCATCCCGATCTACTCATTCCATTCCTAATTTCATATTTATATTCATGGGTATAATATTGAAATGTATTCTGCTCTATTTCCTTAGTTTTGTTAGAATTCTCGTAGCTTCAGGTTTGGACAAAATAACACGGAATGCAGCTGGTAGTCCAGATCTAAATATAAATATTTTAAAACTGTATTAAGAGATATAATTAACAAAAAATTAATTTTAGATTATTTCATCGCTTTATATTACATCAGCACGGCGCTTAGATTTAGAATAGGAAAAAATAATTGAACATGAAAATAATATTAAGCCCGTATCTGCAGGTCACGCTTGGTCTAGGTTACTATATTATAAAACGAATTTAATAGTAAAAATTCCCCAAACAAATTTTAATTAATTTGAAATTTGTTAAAAACATTTAACAGCTGGTACCGGATAATTTTGTTAACCAGGGGTATCAATAAAAATATAACAAATGTTAGGCAAAGGTAATAAAATTTATTAAATAAATCATTCCTTCCCTTACTCTTAGATTAGTGTTTTTAAGAGATTTCTTGTCCTGAATTGGGAGAGTTGCCACCCCACCCCCAATCACTCTTCCAAAATTATACCCAGCCCCGGGGCGGGTGGATTGTAAAAATAAGTACCCCTGTAAAACAGGACCCAGCTGACCAACCTGCATACATCAAGGAACGTGTTAAACTCATGATCCTCGCAGATCTTCTGCTTCTTGTAGAACTCTTCAAACAACTTGTTCTGCTTATTCGTCTTCACTAGGATACCCTGAACAAAATATATTTTCATTATATCACACAATTCATTTTATCGAAAATTCAACAAATTATGATCGAACAACTGAAAAAAAAGATAAGAAAATAAATAGAATTTCTAATAAAAAACGAAAAAAGCAAAAAGTTCAACATTTAAAAGAAAATGTACTTTTTAATATAGAAAAGTCGAATAACTAATTTAAAAAATCATATCGTAACCCCAAAAAGATGGATAAACCCAAGTCTGTTTCTAAAACACTAAATCGCTTCTTTTCATCAAGGATTTTTTATTCGTTTCAGTGATGAATATCGAGTCAAACCTGAAAGCTTCCATAAATATCATAACTAATAAACCCCACATATTTGTCTTAAATTTTGATTTTAGAATTACGGGAATGTTCTAAACTTCGCTTAAAAATTGTAAATCGATTGCTTCCAGTTTTTAAGCCAACATGGCTTTCCAAGTTAGTATTACATAATTTTATAGGAGTATACTTTTCTTGGTTTATGCGTTCCAAGATGAATAAGTTGACTTATATATGGAAAACTTTATTTCCAGAAAAAGCTGGGTTCCCAAGCTAGTGTACGTAACATATTGGAATTAAACGCAATAGTCGTATTATTTTTAAAAGCAAGCATCATCTATATAATAAAGCTCTTCGCTTATATATATATATATATTTGTATGTTAGCTATAGCTGGCCAAACAGCTTGACCAAATAATTGGCCGAAATTTTTTAGGAAACCCATGAGTACCCTGAGGGTAACATAGGCTAAAAATTAAATTTTTTTATCTTTAGAATTCAGATTTTTTCAAAATTTTCAATTTTTTTCGGGCAACGTCGGGCAATTTAGCTAGAAATAAAATCAAGTAAAATATTTAGAAAGGTCAACAATAAGTTCAAGTCTAGAATTAAAACAAAAACTCCCCTTGGAATTTCTACAGCTCTGTAATGCAGGAATAGAGTACGCTCGTTTCGGATTTGTGAGAACACGTAGAAATCCTACAATTCCATTTTTTATACTTAAATACATTCTTTCATCTGAAAAAGTTATACCTAATAATATGAACAAATAAGTAAAATAAAGTTATAAATCCATAAGGGTTTAGCTTCTATTTTTCAGCTCTACCAGTATATTCTTACAACTAAAAAAATAAGGATCCATCATATTGAAAACAGGTATAACTAGAGCGTTTTGGACACAAAGTCTGCCACAAAAGTAAGACCAAAACCAGCTTCATCACAATGCAACACGTTCAAAACGCAAAATTAATTGTCCAAAAACATAAACTTCCAAAAATTTAGCAAGTGAGTGTAGAAAATGCGGGAGAAAGATGAGAAGATGTGTACGAAGGGCTGGAAGCTCATTTATCCTTCTTAGCAGAGGCCAGGGAATTATGCATCTTCATTACAGTTGTCTCAATGATATCCTAAAATAATAAGGTTTGAATTAGAGGGATGAAATCGCAAACTTTCTCCAGGGCCAAATTTATCTCCTCCTGGGAAAATATATTTTTTTATCTTCTTGGTTGGCAAATGTTATCTCCTGGTCCAATTAATTTTTTTAACCCTGAACAATGTTTTTGATCTTCCAAACAATGTTCTTTATCTTCCAGGGCCAATATCTTTACATCCCGGGCTATGAATCTTTATCTCCCGGGCTATTATTTTTTAGCTCCCAGGATATTATTCTTTATCTCCCGGGATATTATTCTTTATATCCCGCACCGTTATTCTTTATATCCCGGGCTATTATTCTTTATATCACGGGATATTATTCTTTATCTCCCGGGATATTATTCTTTATCTCCCGGGCTATTATTCTTTATCTCCCGGATATTATTCTTTATCTTCCGGGATATTATTCTTTATCTCCCGGGATATTATTCTTTATCTTCCGGGATATTATTCTTTAACTCCCGATCAAAATTTTTTATCTCCTGGGACAATGTTCTTCATCTCCCTGATCAATGTTCTTTATCTCCCTGGTCAATGTTCTTTATCTCCCGGGCCAATGTTAATTATATACCTGGCAAATAACTCCGTTCTCGTCGATGAAGTCCGCGACGGACCTGCTGAACCCTGTCTCTCTGGATTGTCCGGTCTTACCATCATTTAGCCTGATAAACAACAGAGTTGAAAACAGATTTAAGATTATGTTGCCGTTTGACACTTAAACGCTTAACACTAACAGAGCCAATATGCAATACAAAACTATCTTTTAACATTTTGATTATTTTTGTTATTTTTTGTTTCATCAGTAGTAGTCGAGGTTAAAATTTACCATTTATTCTGGTTCCAACTATTTATTATGGTTGGAAGATAGAAAATTTTTGGCGATTTAGAATAATTATATTGCAAGTACATATATAAACCTACTTGATCGTAACCTCATACATGTCATCAAACTTCTTCATCTTGGACGCAACCTCCCAGGTACTGTCAGGATCCAAACCTACAATTTATTAATTGATTATTTGGTTGATTGATCAATCAGTAATTAGTCACATACACACGTTTAAGGCAAACGCTATTAATGTAAACCATACAGAAACATTATACAAAACATCAAAAACGTTTATTTCCTTAAAGTTACTCACGAAAGAAAAGAATTCAAAGAAGACTGAAGTGTACAGAATTCATTTAAATTTTTTGTTACATACATGGTTCCCTACAATTTCACTTGTCATTTCGCATTAAAATTACTAGGTATAAATAAAAATAATTTATTTTAGGCAGGGAGTGAAATTCAATCTTTAAATACGAGTTTCAGTTTGTCATTAAAGTCTCATGATTTGTGGGTAACCCTGTACTAAAAATCTATTTAAAATTTTGATTAGTATACGGTTAAAATTCTACGTTAAATGCTTTTTATTTTATTAATGTACATAAGTACAGTACATACCTGCTGGATCTCTCTGCATTACGACAACAAAGATTCCCTTCTCCTGTACAGTACATGTTATAAGGGCAAGCATATTCTTTTTAAACCCCCCGGGAAAAAAAGCCCCTCCCCCCCCCCCCCCCCCTCTTTATTTTACAAAACAGTAACCTCCTCTGTGGCTATCTATCAATCTCATATAAATACCGTTCAAAACTGAATTAATTTCAATTCCTATTTTGTGAGTCATTCTATTTTTAAGAGCAAAAAAATCAACATCCCTGACACCTACTCTTGCTCCCGATACCCTACCCCCCCCCCCCTTCCTCTGGTATAATCTGTATTCCTTGAATGTAGTGTATAGGGTGAGTATACCCATCAGAAAGAAGTATCCGCCAACACAGCAGATCAAAATAGGCTTCGACTAAATAACAAACAATTAATCAATCAATCGATCAATCAATAATTATCAATAAATAAAAATTTTATTATTAGATGGATGTTCGGTTAAAGGACTGTTAGCGTATTTTCAAGTGATCCTCCATGAAAAAATGACAATCCCCGGTTAAAGCATTGTCTGGTCAAGTATTTGCACGAAGAGTCACTAAAATTACGGTTACAGTCCCTTTAAACGTTCAATGAAAATGAAACACAGGAATTGTGCAGTGTACACAGCACACACACATTTCATTCAATTAGTTGGTTTTTAATCTACTGGTAAAACTATATTTGCTTTATAACGTCAAATATAAATAAAATAGTTTAAATTTGTCTTAATTTCCCACAATTTTATTGTTCCATTGTTTTATCCAACTACCTTAGGGAAGGGATAGAAGAAGTCCCAGGCGAGGGCAAACATGGCAATTCCTACGGCAAGACCACAGATAACGAGCCGGCCGTCCATCAGCCGATGGTTCTCGGCATATGGCAGCTTTTTTGTCATCACCTATACATTACAATTATGTATATTTAGTCTTTGCAGCTTTTTTTTTACAAAAAATATGTCTATACCTAAATATAGATCGAAAATTAAAATATTATTACTAATAATAATCTGAACAACTTACGTCTCTGATCGCGTCATCAAGAGCGTTCTTAACTGCAACACCATCCCACTTAAACACCTTGACCGGCTCAACAGCTTCCCCGCTCTTTTTCGACATTTTCTCTGTAATTAAATAAGATTATGATTTAACATTTAATGGATTGTTGACGTCATTTCAAGTAACCCTCCAGTTAAAAAGTTCACAATTGCAACCTTCAATTGTCAATTTCAAGGTGATAAAGGGTATCTCCAATATATCTCCATTTTGGTGAGAAATGGCACCGGTAGAGAATCAGACATGTAAAACTCTTTATATTTGACAATATTGAAATTAATCAAGAACAAGTTTATGTATTCCATTTTATATATGTTTTAAATATGTTCTAGTATTCTTGTTCCCTGTACATCTTTTTCTATTATTTTCCCACAGAATTAAAGGAATCAAATATTGAGTATTTTCAAAACCCAAAATCAAGTGTCAAGTCTAACACAACAATGTACAATGTCCTTTCTAGGATTATTTGTATTTGTCCGACTCCATGGCATTCCTAGAATCCCTTACATTTGCCAGAAACTTAGCTCCTAACAATCATTCAAGTTCTGTTTTAAGATGTTTTATCTGAAATTATAAATTTCATTTTATTGATGTCAGAAGTTGTGTTGTTTATATGTAACTTACTACTCTATTTCTATTAAGAATGTTTAATAACTGATACATATTTTTGAATATAAATCACGTATAAAAAAACTTTTAACTTTTGGGATGCTTTATAAATATTCAAGAATTGAATAAATTCCTAAAAGTTTCATGAGAGATTTAGAAACAGCAGGAAGATACTGATTCAAGTACATCATTGGAAGTACTGGTGCAAAGCAAAGCCAAGACTCAGGCAGCTTAATACAAAAAAGTTGATTTCATAAAAAAGAATTAAATAATGTCTTTTTTTACCTTGTTCGCAACCGCTATTAAAGATAACTCAGCACATCTATTTATATTCTTTTTGATCGATTATGCCAATACATCATTCAAAATCTGCAAATTACCTTAAGAAAAAATTTATGACAAAAAAAAAGAATAATTTCCTTTCTGCTGTCATCCTTTTGTCTCCTAAATTAAAATGTTATTTAAATAATAAATAGCTTTTCATACAAAAGAATTAAGCAAAACTTTGAATTTCACTCGCCTGGTTTCATGCTTTCACCAAAACGTTCTCCAAACTTTTCTGTTGCGGCAACCTTGTCATTTTTCAAAATTTTATAATAATATTTTATACAAAAATTTAAGTTTTTTTAATAACAAATTTTATTAACTTTGCAGATTAAAGTTAGGAAAGTAGTTTTAGTGACAAAATTTTATAATAATATTTTATACAAACATGGAAAATTTAAGTTTTTTAATAACAAATTTTATTAACTTTGCAGATTAAAGTTAGGAAAGTAGTTTTTGTGACTAAATATTATAATAATATTTTATACAATCATGGAAAATTTAAGTTTTTTTAATAACAAATTTTATTAACTTTGCAGATTAAAGTTAGGAAAGTAGTTTTAGTGACTAAATATTAGCAAAATGTTTTTTTCGGAAAATAACGAAGAGTAAACAAAACAATATTATTTGTAATGAATAACCTGGAGTAAATTAGAAAATGTGGGGCCAGGACATAGCATGGTAATGTCTATTCCACTTCCAACTTTTTCATTTCTTCAGAAAAAATCTCTTCAATAGTCAACAATATTTGCCAGACTTAAACGCAATTTTCTTTTCAATATTTCTTCTAAATAATTTAATTCATTGAATCAAGATTTTTCCCTTAGGCTTTCAAAGTATCCATGAAGGGCGTGCTTAGAGCCTAATTTTAAAAATCATTGCTTTTGAAAATTTAAAACAAGATATTAAATGTTTATAGCTCCATGTTATTTGGGTTTTCATGTGAAATTATGTCATATTTTACATTTTTGAGGGAAAATTTGGGGTGCAATCTTTGAAAATATAAGACAGTATTTGTACAAGAAGAAAAAGATGTTCCCATCCTGCAATGTATATTCTCCTGTATAGGTTCCGGAAAATGGAACTCCTGATTTTCCAGCAGGACTGGACATTATTCCTATCATACCTAGTAATTGATATTTTTTAGAGTAGCTCCTTACAGAAACTGTAGTCGTAATTACGAGTATATCCATTTTTAGAGTAGCATGCCAGATTTACAACAGTACCATCAAATAAAAGTTCTCATTTTCTCTCTCTTAAAATTGATTTTTCAATTATGGTTTGTCTTTAATCGTGGCTTGCAGATTTTGTTTCAGAAATAATTGGAAGTAATTTAACAGTTAGTTGTACACTTCTAAAGTTAGAAAACGATGATATCATTTTTAATCAGATGAAGATTTGAAGGGTACTGCTATAAATAGTACTACTTGAAATTACAACGGCAGAGCTCATTAATGTCACTTAACGAGCAATATCGATGGATATGATTTGAATAATTTTCATTTCTATTGTAAGACCTTGTTTTGCAGTAAGCATATGAGGAAGAATGACCCTGGTTAGGTTTATTACTGAGAAAACATTTAGATCGAACATGCTTCTGTCAACTTCCAAGTCGATATGCTCCCATCGAGCTCTCTGAGACCTAACACACACAAAATCTTGATATAATCCTAATCAAACCCCTACACTCTCGAGGAAACAATCTAACCTATTTGAGAATGAATTAGGATCCCTTTAGCCTTTACCTCCCTGCATTGTGAATCATTACATCAAGCCGTCCAAACTTATTTAGAACTGTATCAAATGCTTCTTTATGTTTGGAAAACTCGCAGAGATCAAGAGGCAGAACTGCAGAGCAAATCTTTTGTAAAAACTTGCAAAATATTCAGTTTACACATTGTTTTAGAGTTAATGCAATATTGATTTAAAATTTAAAAAAAATATATTTTCTTAAAAATATTCCCACTGGAACTATTTTCTTTTAAGTGGTTTAAAACATTCAAATGATGACTCTCCTAGGATATTTTCTTCAGCTGCACCGGCCGCAATACATTTCGTCCTTACATGGGAAAAATACACTAAAACACGTCAATTTGCTTTAAGCATTGATCTAGATTTGAAAATTTTGTGACGTGACAACAGTTAATTTCTGATTAAAATAAATCAATTCATAGATATATAGGTAAAATGTTTCATATTGTCACTTAGAAAATAGATCATTTAATCTAGTCCAAAACTTGAAAGAACGGTTAAATCTAATTGCAAAAGGCAAAATTAAACAAAAGATTTGGCCGTATTGTGGAACTAACATCTACTTTATTACTCAACAGAGGTTTGGTCCATCACCATCACATAATTTTAAATCTATATTTTTAGAAAGTGAATTATTTACCTAACTTCATTTAACAACGGTTCCTGTCTGGCGGTCAGAACCAATTTTGCACCGTACTGCAAAGTAAGAAGTTAAGAACAAAAATATTAAGGGGTAACATGTTGAGGAACGATTTCACAAGATTTTGAGAAATATCAACAGGCAAACTTTCATTCTTTTCTATACGTGGTATATTCCTAGAGACCGATTTTTGGACCCCCCCCCAGCCCCCCCCCCCTCCTATCAAATTTGTACATGGGTCTGACAGGAAGTGTCTTAACTTAACCTAACCCGTGGCCGCAGCGCTCGGCCCAGAAAGTGTCTTAACCTAACCTAACACTAAATAACAAAGAAATAATTAATAATAAATTTGCTGAAAAAATAAATGGTCATGTACAAAATTGATAGGAGGGGGGGGGCTGGGGGGGGTCCAAAAATCGTTCTCTAGGACAGACCCCTATACGCCTTACATGAAAATTTTTTATATATTCTCAACTTGAAATCATGAAAATTTGATTTGCATAAAATAACCTAAAATTTTAAAAAATCGGTTTAAAGAGAGAAATAAATTCCACCAAATGATAAAATATAAAAATTGCCTTGGCAGCTTGAACAGCCAGTGCAGCCCCTATTCCCGTACTGGAACCTGTCACCCAAACAACCTTTGGGAAAATTGTAGTATGAAGTGTATGTACGAATTTCGTTGCTAAAAAAAATACCTAAAATTAAACAGATCGAAAACTACCTTGTTTGAATAAAATAAATGCAGGTTTGTTCCAGTTTTTTCATAAAACCAAGTTGTAATGTCACAATCTAACTTCAGCATCAATAAGACAAAAACAACAGTAAGTAAACATAACAAGAAAATCATAATTCTGAAAAGTAACGATTTTTCGAGCTCATAACTATCATGTCAGGTCTATAAGAATGATTTTTTGCGCTAAAAATGTGTTAGAACCAGTTGAATTTTAGAAAAACTGAATTTGTTTGGACACGTATATCAGGACAGAGAAGGAAACTTTAACGCTACGCGGCATTATTCCATTATTTCTCTTGAGTAAAAGTCGTCTTTGCTCTGCCGGTTTTCTGAAGATGCCAAACGCTTGGACGAATTGAACGAATTGGACGTATTGGACAAAGGTTCATTGGAACTAAAAACATTATTATCATTAACTTTAAAAGTAAAATAGAAATTTTATGTTCATTTAATGTGGCTCAAGAGTGCAACTTAATGGGGGAGGGGAGGGATAACTGCCCTCAAAGCTTCTCAAAAGGAGTGAAGTGAAGAGGGGGGGGGGGGTTTACGCAATTTTTATAACTATAATTAAGCCGTTTGAACTGTTGACTTTTTGAACTATTAGTAGTTTGAACTATTGCACGCGCGGTACCACGTGTAGTATATAGTTCAAACGACCTATAGTTAAAAAATAACATTCTGTATAAGCATAATTGTACTATTTTTTTGTTCAATTATATTAAAATAAATATATTTCAACTATATAGTTCAATTGAGCCGAAAAATATATGTTTAAATGAGCAAACAAAATAACGTTCAAATGGCAAAAAAAGTTCAGATGAGCAAAATAAAAGTTCAAATGATTAAAAAAACTGTTCAAATCAGCAGAAAATATAGTTCAAATGAGTCAATATAGTTCAAATGAGCAAAAAAAATAATTCAAATGAAAAAAAATTTAGTTTAACATGAGTCAAAAATAGTTCAAATGAGTAAAAAGATATGAGCACAAAATATAGTTCAAATGAACAAAAATATTTAGTTCAAATGATCGCCAAAAATTAGTTGCTTATTTGAATTATCTTTTTGATTTATTGAAAATATTTTTTGCTCATTTGAACAATTTTTTTTGCTCATTTGAACTAGTTTTTGATCATTTGAACTATATTTATTTGCTCATTTGAACTATTCTTTCTTATTTGAAAGCATATGTTTAGGTTAAAATTTGAACTTAATTGTTTTGCTTAATTTGAACATATACTTTTTTTACATTTTAACTGCTTCTTTGAACTACTTTTTTGGTCATTCGAATTATTTTTATGTCCTTGTGAAATAATTTTTTGATCATGTAAACTATATTTGTCTTGATCGTTTGATCTATATTCTATAGTTTCATGAAATATAAAAATTTTTAAACTGCATATTTAAAAGTTCAAATGAGTAAATAATGTATTGTTTGAACTATCAGGAAATGACATCATTATTAGTAGTTAGAATGAACAATTTCAAACGATCAATAGTTCAAATGATCAATAGTTCAAACCGTGCATTATTTCAAATGCACCACCGAGGGGTGCACATGTCTCATGGCATGGTAATACAAAATATGTTCAGGACAAAAATAGAGACTATATATAAGTGAACAGTAAAAAATTATGATTGTCAGTTCTCTCTGAAGATTCAAAATTCTAGATGTCAATATGCAAAAAAATCTCAAATTATCGTTTCATCTCCATGACAAATAATATCCTCTCCTTAATGATTGCGCCCCATATGGGCATTGGGCAATACTGGAAACAAACTAGTCGGTGGTAAAAATAATTGTTTCCTCCCTGGCCTAGCCTCAAGGGGGAGAGAAAATTTTCCTGATTTCTTTTAATTTAAATCCATCTTACAACCCTGTGTGTCAGAGGTGTATTCAAGGGGGGCTAAGGGGGCTAGCCCCCCATCTGGACCAGTGAAATCCATTTCAGGGGGTTTGCAGGCCCCAACGAGTGCTGAGCCCCTATGCATAATTTATTTTAACCATGAATAAAAGTGTAGCAATGGGATGTCTCAGTTTTTTAGTGTCTTAAATCCGAAAACTATATGGGAATAATAGTAAAATAATAGTAAAGTAAAATAGTGAGACACTAAAACATTGAGAAGGTTTATTCATAGTTGAAATATATGTAAACCAGACATAAGCATGGTAATAAACAATTATGACATTTAACCATTGAGACACATGCAGTTATGAACATGCAGATACAAGTGAGACTAAAGTTGAAATAAATTTTACGAAAGATTTGTTGTTTTAACTATTTTTCTTTCCAGAAATTGTTATTTCCCCTGAGGGTATAGGGGAAATCTTATAATTCCCCATGAATTGTTTTGAAGAGCTAATACTACAAAATACTTTATTGATAAAACATGTAATATTCAAAATCTAGACAATATGTTAACATGATAAAAACATATATTAAAAAAATTTACAGAATCCAATTTTAGAACCTTAACCGACTCATTATAAAATTTATTAGAGTATTAAGTTATTAAGTATTAACAGTAGGCATATCTCTGCTTGGTAAACAAGGCAACTACTGGACCTGAATACTGAATAGTGTATATCTGTATACATAGGAGAAGGGGGAATATTTAAAGCAATGCTAAAAGAATTTTAAAGTCTTAATGTAAAGTATACCTTTAAACAGTGTTTAAAAAAATCAAAAACAGTCCATAATTTTTTAATTAATTAGTTAACAGTTTATTTGAAAAGCTCTTAAAAAATTCATGTATTAACATGTGCCTCATGTTAATATTTGTCATAAAAGTAAAAATAAATATTTTTCAGCCTTTTTCGACGTACTTATTAATTTTTAAAAAATAGCACCCTTACTATTAAAGTTATGGGTTTTTGGTTTTTTTAATGAGCTAGCCAATTCAAAAGTTAGACCAAGGACACATATCACACTCCCTTATTTTAACTCTAAGGGCAAAACCATAGCTATATTGGACAATAAAGCCCCAGGGTTAAACGAACAATATCATAACAAAAAAAAAATATTTTGTAATAATTATATAATAGTCCAAAAATTATTTTCCTAAAAACTATTTTATATTTTCAAGATTGAAATCTGCTTCTTATGTTAAAATGAAAAAGTTAATCCTTTGAATTCTCAATTTCTCTTTTAAAGAGTTGTTAAATGAGTTCATTTTTTTAAAGCATTGTCTTCAAGTATCTTACACTCTTTTATTTCAAGAACTTTAACTGAAGAAAAATGGAAGTCACCAGAAATAACAGATTAACAGACATACACACACGGACACAGTCCACCAGACCTTCAAGGAGAAGGTAGTTATAGACTTAAAAAGAATTCAGTAGTAAAAATCCAAGATTGAGTGGAATAACAAAGCATGGTTGTAGACAAACTATGTTTACATTATAATGATACAAATGGTTAGTGTTAGACCAACTAAAGTTCATTTAAATACACATGACAAATATATTTCCATTTGACTCTTCTGATCAGATGCTTTGTGCTATCTGCTGAGTTTTGGGGGATCCCGGGGATAAATTGGCCGATGAAACTGCTTTCTTTGCCAGTTAGATAAAGGCTGTTTCACTCCTTTCTCCAGCATTCATCTTACCCTAGCTGCCCTTTAAACCGCTCTTTTAATGGAACATACTTGATATCTCCGGATGAGAAAGAGTGTTCAATACCATTTGGGACTGCAGATCTGGATTGTTTGGCTTTATTCTTGGATTGCATTTGTTAGGCATTATTTCTCCAGCAATGAAATTATATGATACTATACACACATGGGGAAACCCTTGGCTAGGTTCACAATAGGATTAGGATAAAAAATACCTAGGTAAGGGTTACTAGATTTTTAAAAAATGACGATAAAAGATGTAATCATAATATACATATTTTTCAGATTTTAGAATTGACTAAACTGAAATTATTAAATCATATCACGAAGGAACTAAGTCTTTGCTCCAAAATATGACTTTCTAATCTCTATATCTTTGCAACCCAAATTTGTAAACGTTAGATATTTCAAACGGTGAATTATGTTATTTCTAATAATTTAAGTTAGAACTATTTAAGTTTTACACCATCAGGATATGGGGATTAGACAATTTGAATTTGTGGCAAAGACTCAATGCCTTTGATAAAGTATTGTTTCTTTATCAATAATTTAATTTAATAAAAATTTAGGGAACTGCTGGAATTACCGTGGGCTAGAAGACGATATAGTGAGCATAGAGCTAGAGTTCAATCTGCTGGAGCTAGAATAGATTGTAATACACCCAATACTGCACATATGCCACATATTAGGTGAAAAAATAATTTTAAGTTTGATTTGGGCTGAGAACTTAAAAAGAATAAAAAAGACTTGATGTATTTCTCTTACCATGCTAATTCTAATAACACTGGTATACGTCCTTGAATATTATTCTATTATAATTATTCCAGATCTAAAGTCTAGCACTCTGAGCTTTACAGCACTCTGTAAATATCCTTCATTTTCTTTAGAGCAATGAGATTCATATTTTGTTATATTTTTAAAACATTTTTCAGTGCTTAGCTAAAAACTTACAGGTTTATAAGATCTAGAAGTAGAAGGTATTAAGAAGGAAAATGATCAGATTATTTTAGGATAAAAGGAAAAATGGATCAAAAGGAAAAAGAGCGACAAGAAGAAATCCAGGTAACAGCCGTAGTCGAAACACTTTACAAGTAAACACTGGTCACTGTTCAATTACAGTGTACAGACTACAGTTCAGTTAGTTCAGTGCCCCTTTTTATAGATATGTTATACTAGCTCTTAAATCCATTACAAAAGACGACATTATAAAACGCAATCTTTAATTAGCAAAGTCTTTGATAACTCCTGTTATGGAAGAGCTTTGGAGAAGATCAAAAATGTTTTGAATTTTAAAGGGACCGTTCACTTATTTGAGTAATTTCAGGGAAAACTAAACAGCCTATTCGCTGTTGATTGGTAATAATCTTACTTTTCAAAGACAACCGTGGCCGGAGAAAAAGCCGATTTTTCGTTCAGAATTCGAGCGCAAAGGGACGGTCCCTCTCTATAGACACTAATTGATGCTTTTTTTAGTATGTTGTGAATCAAAATAAATTTCGAATATAAAATTAAACTGTAGTATCTAATCGTTAATTGTAAATGTCATTATTTTGTAATTTTTTTTGTTTTTTAACTTTCTTTTTCTAAAATAACACTATTTTATTGCATTCAAAATTGGTATTGCCTGTGTAAAAAGCTGAATTGAACGCGGCATGACAAATGAAAAGTTGTGCACATACGGGAATAAAATCTACAAAATCTACGAACCAAAATACGAGAAATGATTAATTGATTGTAGTAGAGACGTCGTCTTTGAATACACATTTTACATGTTTACATGTTTTACATGTTTAATACGAAAAACGTAAATTTCTTTCTAACTCAAATATCAAAAGTTTTCATATTTTAGTACATAATAACGAACACAAAATGACATTAAAATATAATAAATTTAAATGTTATTGGGCTGCTGTTACTGAAAAAAACATCAATTAGTGTCTATAGAGAGGGACCGTCCCTTTCTGCTCAAATTCTGAACGAAAAATCGGCTTTTTCTCTGGCCACAGTTGTCTTTGAAAAGTAATGCTATTACCAATCAAGAGCGAATAGGCTGTTTAGTTTACCCTGAAATTACCCAAATAAGTGAACGGTCCCTTTAAAGGTAACCAAATTAATTAGCTTTGCTCATACTTTTGCGTAATATTAAAAGTAAGGGAACTGCGAGGGATTACAAAGTCATACAAGTAATTTCCCAATTGACCTTTCTGTCAAGTGGAGAGTAATGTACATACAGTGTAAAATGTACATTTACATATTCCATTCGCTATTCATTATAAGCTATAGTAACTTTTCATTTGACAGGGAAAGGTTAAAGCCATTGTGTGTTCAACTCATTTGCATAGATCTTGTGATAATTTCCAATTGGATTGATGTCGAAAATTTTTTTTAGAATTATTAAAAAACATAAATAAAAACATAGTTTGATAAAATATGTATTTTAAAGAATATACGCATTTATCGCAAAATCACTTCTACTTCCATCAAAAAAAATTAACATCACCATTTTAGAACTTTATTGATAAAGTAAATTATCTGAATCAACATAAAATAAAAATCATTCTAGTCTGGGAAGTCTGGGAAGAATGTCTCTGAAAAAAGTAGACGTATTTTATAAATGTCTTTTTTTTCTTTTTTTTTAATGAAGAAACCTGTATACAACAGACATTGCATCACGATTCTTCTTTACGTTATCGTACACCTAATTAAATTAATATTAATACTAATAATAGTAATAATAATAATAATAATAATAATAATAATAATAATAATAATAATAATAACAATTAAAAATTTACCCTCAGCTCATCATATTTTTGCATAAATTGTTTAGCAACTGTTAAACATTGACCAAGCCAGTTCAATCCTCTCCACTGAGATATAAACACAATATATGTTCCATTGAGAAACTTTAAAGAAATTGTTATCGGTGTGATATCAGCTATTTAAGTAGGTTTATAAAACAAAGCCAAAGCTTTTTTACAGATTCTGAAAGAAGACTTTGTGTAAAATCCGCAAATGAGATATTTAGAAAACTTGAAATGTTTTTGAGCCTTTCTGTTTAAGTATCATCATCTCAAAATATATTTAACAATGTAGAATCATCAAATCGGAAGAAAATAAACATAAATAGCTGGTGTCAACGGTAAACAAAATTCTTTTATGTAAACAATGCAAAAAAGGATTAATAGTCCATTTAAACTTAAATTTAAGGTTTCATTGGGTGTTCCTTTCCTAGGGGGAACATCTAAATCACCTTGAACCTAACCGAATGCAGTTAAGGCTAGGACGTCTTTTAATTTCTTTCTAAATTACTGCAAGACATGTAATGCAGCTGACAAAGGGAAGTTCTTATTACAACAATGTCAGCAATAAACCTACATAGATGGCCGATATCAAAAACAACTGGAATAAATACAGAAACTCAAGAGCTGATATTGAAATACTACAAATTGCCTGATCAGCTCTCGAAACTGCATATTAACCATCCTGGGGAGGGGGGGGGGGGGTTTGCAGCTAATTGAATGCGCAAAATAGGACAGTCAGGAAACAAGAAGATTGGAAAAATGATTATCTGCATTCTGCATTAAATACATGTATCAAATAAGTTGTTTCATAAAAAAATTAAAAATAAATAAATTGATAAAGTTAAAAAACTTAAATTAAGATACGCTTTTTTGTCTTTCATCTATTGTCCAATGTATCAATTGGTGCTTCTTCAATAAAAAGTCTCTTTAAAAATTCATAATATTTTTTTCTTTGTAAATATAAACTTTACCTGACCGGGAATTTTAGTTTTGGGATTTTTAACTCCAAGTCCTACACCCCATCTAATTATATAAGTAAGTAAGTAAGTAAGTAAATAAATAATTGATCTATAAAGCAAAAACATACAAAATTAAAGGGTTCAAGGAGGAAAATTTTAAAGTTATAGGTTGATTTATATATTTTTCAATTCACATATTTTCATAAAAATTAACAAAAAATTACCTAATATCTCTGGGAGCACACTCAACAAACAGCTGTTTATCTGTTTTCAACATTTCCCTCCTATAGTGTCATCATTTCAGTTAATTTATTGGATTTCCTTTCTATAATGTTATTATTATCGATAATTTATTGAATTTCCTTCCAATAATGTTATTATTTTAGCTAATTTATTGGAATTCCTATCTTAAGTGTGATCATTATAGTAAATTTATTGGATTTCCTTCCTATAATGTTATCATCATAGTTAATATATTGGATTTCCTTCCTATAATGTTTTAATCATAGTTAATATATTTGGATTTCATAGTTAAAATATTGGATATCCTTCCTTTCATGTTATCATCATAGTTAATATATTGGATTTCCTGCCTATAATGTTATCATTATAGTTAATTTATTGGATTTCCTTCCTGTAATGTTATCATCATAGTTAATACATTGGATTTCAGTCCTATAATGTTTTCATCATAGTTAATATATTGGATTTCCTTCCTATAATGTTATCATCATAGTAAATATATTGGATTTCCTTCCTATAATGTTATCATCATAGTAAATATATTGGATTTCCTTCCTATAATGTTATCATCATAGTAAATTTATTGGATTTCCTTCCTATAATGTTATCATCATAGTTAATATATTGGATATCCTTCCTTTCATGTTATCATCATAGTAAAAATATTGAATTTCCTTCCTATAAAGTTATCATCATAGTTAATATATTGGATTTCCTTCCTAGGAAGTTATCATCATAGTTAATATATTGGATTTCCTTCCTATAAAGTTATCATCATAGTAAATATATTGGATTTCCTTCCTATAAAGTTATCATCATAGTAAATAAATTGGATTTCCTTCCTATGAAGTTATCATCATAGTTAATATATTGGATTTCCTTCCTATAAAGTTATCATCATAGGTAATGACTAATGTATTGAATATCCTTAACTCTGAGGCTCTAAATAACAATTGCATGAAAATATTGTTTATATATTTCTCAAATGTTTCCCAAATGAATCAATTCCCATATATATTCCCAATTTGATATGATTTGATATTCCGAAGTGTAAATGTTTATCCTTTTCTTTTCAAAATGTATTTTGAAAATGTCATTTGAGCTTTTTTGGTGATACTCAGATTAAAAATGTACTTTTTGAAATAATTGAAAAAAATTTCAATAAAAAATTATTAATTGCTAATCTGACAAACCTTAGGAATTGATTTTGAGAGAATTTGAGACAGCATCCTCTGCAGACTATATCTCTGCATACATCCTTCCATATACTTTCCTTGAAGTTTCCAACCTTAATACATTGTACGCTGTACAGTTAGTGCTAGAGATTGTCAAAATGTTGTATTTTAAATCTGTTCATACATGCTTAGTCTTTTTGTAGCTCTTCTTATCTCTAAAACCCGAAAATGGGTTCAGTACTCAGTAGTGATTTAAATATTACTGAACTCAGATTCTAGATTAAAACTTTTAATTTCCTTCAACTCAGAACGTTGAAAACCTTAGAAATAAATACCTTTCGACCTAACTTTTTGGCCTTCATAGGATCTTTTTCCTTCATTATTTCATTGAACACCGTAAAATCTTTAAACAGCAGCGCCTAGAAAAAAATGATTTTTCTAGATTTTTCTGAAAACATTTGGAACGAATTATTTTTTTATTTTTACCTTGCTTGCATGCATATATTGCTCGACATTCTCAAACCTAAATCAAACAATAAAAAACTAAATATGTTTAATGTCTATAGAGTTAGGAATAAAAAGTATTAATACTTGGATTTAAGTTTTGAAAAGTACTGAATTGTGCAGTATAGACTATAGATGGCAATCTTGACATGGAAAAGGTCAATTGAAAGTGAAACTAGTTTGGCATCTTTTTGAAAAGTTATTTTTATTTTGGAATTAATATCTCTGACCGAACAGAATTATCAGGTTCTCTGGTGGAATTTATCTCATCTTGAAGTAAATCAATTTCTCAAAACAACTTTTAAAAAAATTTAAGTGATATTCACATATTATTTTTTTACTAACGTGGATTTATTTCAGTTTGAAATTTTAGCATTATTTCACTTTTTAGACTATTGACAAGGAAAAAAGAAGTTTTTAACCCTGATATGCAAAGCAATTACTTTGCTTTTACTCTTTGGGTGCAAAATAAAAACTAGAGGAATTATAAGGTCGAAAAGTCGTACCAATATTTCTGTATAAATTTTACCTTTGTATATATATGTCTAGATTTTAAAATTGTTTGGTTGAAAAATTGATAAATCGATTTATTCATTGATTAATTTTTAATTTACTGATTATCTAATTGATTGATTTACTGATTATCTAATTGATTATTCCTTTGTCAATAAAGAATTGAGGATCCCAGAACTCCGAGGCATAAAAGTTAGAGAACACACCCTAAGCAGTTCATTGTTAACAATATCAACAATTAATAGTTAACAATATAAACAAGTATATAGTTAACAATATAAACAGGTATATAGTTAACAATATAAACAGGTATATAGTTAACAATTTAAACAGTGAATAGTTAACAATATTAACAGGTATATAGTTAACAATATAAACAGGTATATAGTTAACAATATAAACAGGTATATAGTTAAAAATTTAACCACATAAATGATAAATCAAACAAAATATTAGAACATAAAAATATAACAATAAAAGAGATAACACAACGTAAACCTGGTAAAAAGTGTGGAATCCATCGTATTCAATATTCTCATATATATTTTCCATCTCAATATTCTTCTCTACTACCGCCATAGTTTCTAAATCTAATATAGTTTGTTTTTAAATCGTATTTTCAAATAACTCCATTTTTTAGAGTGGCTTGTCTTAATATCCCTACCCTTATGCCTGATAAGAATGCATGAGATATCCATAAACTTTTCTTGGCAAATTTAATTGATAATGCGCATTTGTGCTCCAGAAAAAGTGGAGGAAAATTTCAGAATTTACGCTTTAAAAGATATTGAATACCCTTTATTGGACATAAGATGCAGAAATATAGGTGTATCACTGCGGCTACACTAGTATACTGACTAGTAGTGGGTTAATGTGAAGGTATTTATATACTCCAGTTAACCATGGTGAAACACAGTATAGTAAACCATGTGAAAAACAAAGCATAACATTGTGAAATGAAGGCAAAAGGGGGGGGGTGAGATATAAGGTGAAAAAAATTAGACAAACTATATATATATATATGTATGTATTATATTGCATTGTGCAATTGCATCTTTTGACAGATGTAAATTAATTTATAAAGATAAGAAGTGGATAATATTCATTTGCGTTTGGATTGTTAAATATACGGAGCTAAAAGAACAACATTTTTTCGCAACATCGAATTTTCCTAAATCATTTCGAAATTACTTGGTGCCCAATAAATCTTGATGATTTATAAATGGACAGATCTACATCATTTTTTTTATATTTTTTCAATTTTTAAGCATGCTAAAATCCAATTTTTTTCAAATTTTATCCCAATATTTGTTTTTTACAAGCAGCTTCAAGATTTGCATGTTAAATAATTTATTCAACCAATAACGTATTCACTCTTTTTCCCAGGAACTATATTATAGCATCACCAACAAGAAAATAGACCACGCTGTGAAAGCTTAAAAACGAGTAATAAAAAAGTCAAACGCCAGGCCGGAAGGTTTTCAAAAAGATTACATAACATTTTTAGATTTTTATAAGATAAAAAAATTTAAGATGTCGGAGAAAACGTCTTTAGAAATTGCTAAAACATTTTGTCGAAAAATAGTTTTGAGTTTTTTATTTCCACCTTTTTAATATTAAAATGAAATTAATTAAAAAAAATATTTAGAAGAGAAATCTGATCTTGCTGAAACATCTAGCCGATATTGCTCGCAGGTATAAACAGTAACAAAATATATATTTAATTAAAAGAAACTCGAAATGCACAATGTTTTTTAAAAGTTTTTTATTGCGATGCTTTTCGTACCTTTCCATTTCACGTTTGATCTTAAAATTGAAGTAATAATGAAGTATAAAAAGTTGTACTTTTAGAGTGTATCTAGTTATTTATCATTTATTATTTAATATCTTTTAAGAAAAACTAATTTTACAGAAGCTTTAATAAGACAAGTGCTTTGATAAAAGACAGATATGATTATTCATTTTTTGTTATTTTGAGTATTTTCGTTTTCTAATTTTATTTAATATTCCAAAGCTTTTGCCTGTTTATTCAGAACTCATATTTTTACTAAATGTGCCTGAAAGTGTTAAAAAATTCATAGGATAATAGAAGACATACAAACTACACTGATTATATCATTTGTCAATGGAAAATAATTCCTCCCCCTCACATCTTCAAACATTTTTTGGAAAAATAAATGATGGGAAAGGGACAAAATGATGTTTAAAAATGGTAAATATTGCAGATTAAAACCTTATTTTTCATTCAATAAAAAAATAATTTCTTCATCAACAACATGAAAAAATATTTTTTTTTAAATTTAAATTATAATTTCAGTAAAAGAATTGATGATGGGAATGCAAGGAAAATGAACTTGAAGGATTTCTACCTTCAGATACTTGTAAACCCCAGGTACCTACCTTCAGATACTTGTAAATCCCATGTACCTACCTTCAGATACTTGTAAATCCCATGTACCTAACTTTAGATGCTTGTATACCCTTGGTACCTACTTAACTAACCTTTAGATACTTGTAAACCCCAGGTACCTACCTTACCTTCAGATACTTGTAAACCCCAAGTATTCGCCTTTCCTTCAGAAACTTGTAAACCCTAATTACCTACCTTCAGATACTTGTAAGCCCCAGGTACCTATATTACCTTCAGATATTTGTAAACCCCAGGTACCTACCTTACTTTCAGATATTTGTAAACCCCAGGTACCGTCCTAACCTTCAGATACATGTAAACCTTAGGTACCTACCTACCTAATCTTCTGATACTTGTAAACCCCAGTTACTTACCTTACCTTCAAATACTTGTAAACCCCAGGTACCTACCTTACCTTCAGATATTTGTAAACCCCAGGTACCGTCCTAACCTTCAGATACATGTAAACCCTAGGTACCTACCTACCTAATCTTCTGATACTTGTTAACCCCAGGTACCTACCTTACCTTCAGATAATTGCAAACCCCAGTTATTACCATACCTTTAGATACTTGTAAACCCCTATTACCTACCTTCAGATACTTGTAAACCCCAGGTACCTACCTTCAGAAAAAACTGACAGAAATTCAAATTGCAATAATGTTTTTTTTATTTTTATTTAGGCTCCGTAGAAAAGTTCAAGTTGCACCGATCCAAGGTCATGAAATTTAACTGAAATATGGTTTTTCCCAATATTTGTAATAAGTGACATGGATAAATTTAGATATTGATTTATCAGTTTTCTAACTTATGTAGTACAAGCTGAAGTGCCCCGGCGTTGCCTGTGGAATAAAATTTTTTTTAAATTACTTTTTTTGATTTTTTTAAGCTTATGTAGCGAGTGTCACCCCCTGGCTACCCATGGGTTTACTCAAAAAATGCCAGCCCATTCGGTCCAACCGTCTGGCAGGCTATAGGGAAAAGAAAAACAAATGTCTTGTTTTACTAAATAGATATATATATATATGAGCAATTTGTAAAGGAAAGATTTTCTAAAAATCATTTTTGAATTGTAACAAAGCTCTAATTATTTAATTGTAACTGTAACTTTATTTAACCCTTTTGTAATTGATGACTCAATGACCAATAAAATTACAAATCTTTTTATTTCAAACTTGTTACATGGAATATTGTTCTTAAGCATTTGTCATTTTTAAATTGCATTCAATCAAACTTTAAAAATTCCGATCTCTCCAAATGGTAAAAAAAAACAAGATTTTGATGTTTTGTACTTAAGTAGTTTTTAAGCTTATTTCACCCAACATAAGAAAATAAATATATGAGATAGATTATTAAAGATTATTTTGAACCCATGGAACCCTAGAGCTAGTTATATTGATCCAATTATCCGACCTAATGGAAACCTCGAGCTAGTGATATTGATCTAATTATCCGACCTAATGGAAACCTCGAGCTAGTGATATTGATCTAATTATCCGACCTAAGGGAAACCTTGAGCTAGTGATATTGATCTAATTATCCGACATAATGGAAACCTTGAGCTAGTGATATTGATCTAATTATCCGACCTCGAGCTAGTGATATTGATCTAATTATCCGACCTAAGGGAAACCTTGAGCTAGTGATATTGATCTAATTATCCGACCTAAAGGAAACCTTGAGCTAGTGATATTGATATAATTATCCGACCTAAGGGAAACCTCGAGCTAGTGATATTAATCTAATTATCCGACATAATGGAAACCTTGAGCTAGTGATATTGATCTAATTATCCGACCTAATGGAAACCTCGAGCTAGTGATATTGATCTAATTATCCAACCTAAGGGAAACCTTGAGCTAGTGATATTGATCTAATTATCCGATCTAATGGAAACCTCGAGCTAGTAATATTGATCTAATTATCCGACCTAATGGAAACCTCGAGCTAGTGATATTGATCTAATTATCCGACCGAATAATAAAATAGTTTTTATCCTTAAACCGCGTAGTCTTTTTATAAATAATTCTAATAATAAAAACTTTCAAGATTTTAAAACTGTATTATGTTGAAGTTTGCTTTTATTAAACTTTGCAATATCTTATAAATTGAAAAGCGATCAAATAACAATATTGTAGTTCGTTTTACACCATTTTGTGCATATATCTTGTCAGAGTTTAATTTGACATAATGTAAGAAATGTTTAGAATAATAATGTATAAATCCACTTGCTCTCGTTAGAGCATTGACCCTTGCATTATCTGATCCCACTACCAGAACATTTTAGAACCTTCTCCTTTAGTCTAGTTCAGCCAGGGGCGTATTCAGGAATTTGTCCAGGGGGGGCTTACATTTTTTTCTTTCCAGGAGGGGCTAAACACCCGTTGGGGCATGAAAACCCCCTGAAATCAATAGATTTCACTGGTCCAGGGGGGCTTAGCCCCAATAGCCCCCCCCCTGAATACGCCTCTGAGCTCAGCGTGCCTTAATTCTGTGGCAATAATAATGTCATTTTATTTTTATTTTTAACCTCTAAAATAGTGTAAATAAAATAAGAACCAACATATATTTAAAAATGTAGACAACAAAATTCAATAAGGATTAAAGAGAGCAATATTGCATAACAGTTATAATTATAACATATATTTCCTAAGAATGCAGAATTTAACATAAGGAACAGTTTACAAATGCGTAGAAAATAGGGGGGGGGGAGCAAATGCGGGGGGTGAATAGACTGCTGCCCCCCCTTATCCGAATCGCCAATGAAAATAGGCTTTTGTGGGAAATAATTTATTTTACATTAACAACCTTTTCGTAAAAGAAATTGAATCTTCGCCACAAACTCAAATCTTTGCAACCTGATGGTGTAAATATTTAATATTTAAACTTAAGATTGTTTAATCCAATACAATTAAAAGTTTGACATATCTAAGGTCTACGCCATTGGGTTAAGATTTAGGGAAAACAAAGTTTGTTGTAGAGACTCAATTTTTGTCAACCTTTTTGAATGAGACGCCATGCAAATATTTTTGTCAGCCTTTTTGAATGAGACGCCATGCAAATATTTTTGTCAACCTTTTTGAATGAGACGCCATGCAAATATTGGGGCATACTTCAAAACTTAGAACCAGAATATCATCACATTTATCAACTTGACAAAATACAGATATAAATAAATCAATCCTTACTGGCAGAGAGCATAATATTTGATGTATCAACAAAACATTAATTTTGTATTTGTCCCGTGTGGTTTTTAATGCTAATGTGTCCAAGTGTGTCATACGAACATGGGAATAGAGGGACGACTTTAATATCGTTTTCTATTCACGGTGCATTCATTCATCAACTATGTTTTACTAATTTCATACTTCACTAATAAAATCATTCCAGGAATTCTTTAATTTTCTCAAAAGCTTTGTTACTTATACAACAAATACCAATCATATAAATTATGACGCAGTCATATAATTTCCAGAATATTGGGATCATACTCTAGAAAAGCTGTCTGATCTATGTTAATTTTCTAATCTTTACTCCAAGTCAATTCCGTCAACATCGTACTTGAGAAGTTCTTTGAGTTCTTTGATAATTTTCTTGTCACTTCTTGGCTCAACCTGGATAAAAAGTTCATAATAAAATTCAATAAATAAATAAATATGCATATAATATACTGTATACAAGGCGTGTACTTCAACGTTAAGAGGGGTGGTTTAGGTTTTGTATTAAAAGAGCTGGAGACGTATATGTTTAAACTAACCCCGTTCATGTGCCATGTCCGATTCACAACAAAGACTTCTGGTAGAAGAGACCTTTTGTCGAGTAAAAGTCAACTATTGTTTACTAGCAATATACTTTAGGACCGGGTACATATTTTCATTTCCGGATATGTCTCATCAACATCTAAATTTGACAATTAATAAATAATTAATTATTACTAATACAATTAATCACCTATTTATAAATTGAAGAAATTGTAAGTATTGCGATTTTAGCCGATATATCTATCTATCTATCTATCTATCTATCTATCTATCTATCTATCTATCTATCTATCTATCTATCTATCTATCTATCTATCTATCTATCTATCTATGGAATTTTTAAACATTATAGATCATTTATAAAGCGAAGTAGTCAATAAAGTATTAATAGCCAAGTGTTGGTCTATATTTACCTTGATAATAAACTCTCGAATATCCATACTATGCGCTAGATCCCGTATCTCCTGTGGAAAATAAATGAATTAATGAAGAAGATTCAGTGGAAAGGAAAGACAGTTGCAAAATGAAAAAGTAAACAACGGAAAGGAAAAAGATCTCTATGTAAAGAGGAGATGAAAGAATACAAATAAATGAATAAAGAAAAGGAAAGAAAAAATGACTCAATGAGTAGAGAAAATAAACCTTACAAAAGAAAAAACTTAAATATAATTATTGAGGATAAGAGTGAATGAACGCTCGTTCAGTACCTGGTCCCCGGAGCTAAGTAGGTTCCCTAATGTGATTAGAATCCTCTCCTCCGTCTCAACCTACAGATCAAACATCCAATACCAATCCAATTAAATCCTATCCAATCCAATTCAATCCAATCCAATACTATCAAATTATATCCAATCCAATCCAATCCAATCCAATCCAATCCAATCCAATCAAAACAAATCAAATCAAATTAAATCCAATTAAATCCTATCCAATCCTATCCAATCCAATTTAATCCAATCAAATACAATCAAATTAAATCAAATCCAATCCAATCCAATCAAATTAAATCAAATTAAATCAAATCCATTAACATCACAGATATTCCAAGTCAATTCAAGCAAATATTATAAGATGAGTTGATAAAAGAAAATGAAGATTAATTAAAAATATTAAACTTTTTATTTAATTTTTACCTGAACAATGGTTGGTGTTACACGTGTAAGAACTGAAGAGAGAAGAAGAATTTTTATTTCTAAACTTTTATCATCTTCATCCCTAGACCTGAACAGTGAACACAATTAACTGATGAAACCAATAATTTAAAAAACACGAGAAAAACATCAACATTTATCTAAAGCTTTTTTATTTACTAGTAAAATCTAAATTTAACGTGAAATATAGAGTAAAATGCGAGAAGCATTTCGAAAATAAGTATTTACGTTTTATTACACATACATAGATCTGCATTGTTTTTTTGTTTAAAAGTTTAAAAGAGATTATTTTTATTCAGACTGATCAGAATTTAGTATTTTTGAAATAATTTCAAGTGACCCCAATTAAAAGCGGGAAATACCCCTTTAAAAAAAGTGCCCTTTAAACTTTCTTTGCTTGATCAATAATGTTAGAGATATCGTCGTCGTTCTAGCTTAAACATGCTTAATTTTAAAAATGTCCTCCATTGTTTCCAAACAGCAGAAACTCTGAAGAGAACACAATTGAAAATGTTAGTTTTTTAAAGAAATAAAACATGGATACCTCATTCTTTTTGATTAGACAAAGATTTCAAGAATATTTAGCGTATTGGACTCGGAGTCGGACATGCCATGATGATCTTAACCTGTTATTTGTATGGTGCAAGACAAGGTTGTGGAGGAAGGTGACGATATAGAGCTCCAGCTTCTTGTGCGAGGAGGGGAGGAGAGAAACTAATCTCTCAATCACACTCTCAACCTCAACCTTGCTGTACTTTTATTTATTAGATTAGATTGACAAAAACTTATTTGGGACCGAGTTTCAGATGCGTTTTTCTTAAAAAAACATTTTGTTAAGATATGTATTATTAAATTTTGTTTTGTTTTTCGGAGAAGTTCGGCTAAAAATGCTAAATTAACAAAAACAATATCATTATTAAAAAAATTAATTTAGTAAAAAAATAATGTAATTAGAAATTCCTCATCAATAATTAGAGCTTTAAAGGAAATGACTTAAAACGTTCACAATACTCAAATATGTATGAACTTAAATATCTCTGGATTTGAACTTTTTTGCTTAGGCATCATTCCTTTAAAATATCAACTAGCTACTCTACAAAGAAAAATAAAGTAAGCAAAACCTGACAAAAATTTTCAATTAAAGTTTCGATCTTTAAAAGCCCTCAGCGGTTAAATAGACATAGTTGTCTTCTTAATTCCAAAAATTAGGTTAATTCGGTAGAGGTCAAAAATTAGGTTGATTCGGTAGAGGTAAAAAATTAGGTTAATTCGGTAGAGGTCAAAAATTAGGTTGATTCGGTAGAGGTCAAAAATTAGGTTGATTCGGTAGAGGTCAAAAATTAGGTTAATTCGGTAGAGGTCAAAAATTAGGTTGATTCGGTAGAGGTCAAAAATTAGGTTAATTCGGTAGAGGTCAAAAATTAGGTTAATTCGGTAGAGGTCAAAAATTAGGTTAATTCGGTAGAGGTAAAAAATTAGGTTATATCGGTAGAGGTCAAAAATCCCTTCAAAAACTTGATTGTTAGTGTGAATGTAATGATCGATTACCTCGTATGTTCCGATATGGAGATGATATTAGCAAGCGCAGCTGTTGCAAGCATGGCGTTGGTATCTCCGACCTTTAGATTCTCCAGGAGTATATCCAGCACACTTTCTACCTCAACCTCACATTCATTCAACCTCAGGCACTTCTGCCTAAATATTTACAGATTTAGAATAGTAAAACATAAATAAATCTTTTAAACACTTGTTTACACAATACAAAATTAAAAATTATAAAGAATTCCACTCTCCCATCTGAACTAGAAATATTCGAAGACGAAGAAACATTCATTTCCTTGTCACACTTTCATTATTTTTTTCAGTAATTTCACTTTTTTCAGAATTATTTAAATTTTGATCCCCTTGATGTCCATTCCTCCTGGGGAGAAGTGACGCAGAACAACTTATGTTCTTTAAAAATAAAACATTGTTTGTTTTTTGGAGAATAAAACACTCAAGGATATATATTTTGGGAAATATTTCCCCCCCCCCCAAGAAAACAATTTTTAAGTATTTGGGGGAATTAAAAGTACTTAACATTGACTGGCAAGTTCTCCCACTTTTAATACTTTTGAACCCCAGAAAACTCCCCTTCTTTAAAAGATCATTTATTTCTTCAATTCGGCAAAATATTTAAATAAACTAAAAACATTCATTAAACAAATAGGTGTAAGATACTTTTCAAGAACATGTATACCCCTGTAGTGTAAACACCACGGTATACCTAAGTAGATCTAGAGCAGGAAACCTATGTTCAGGATTCCAGGATAGAACCTTGACAAGAACAGGGTAGCTCTCCTTAGAGATTCTCACTAAACCTTAATATAGAGATATAAAGAGATGTATGGAGATATAGACATATATAGTGATGCATAGAGATATATAGAGATATATAGAGATATACAGAGAACAACCAAAACAAAACCAACTTTTTTCAAAAACATTCTCTGATTATTTCTACTTTTATAACTTTATTACTTTTATTAAACAAATCCTCATATGAACTTGGGAATAAGTCGTCACTTACCTTTAGCAAGTCCAGAGAAAATGTTCATCTCGATCTCAGTTAGTTTGTTCTCTTCCTAAACAATTTACTGTGAATAAGATAGGAAATTAACTTTTATCTGAATTAATCGAACGGATCATTTAAATTGAAATTTTCCCTTTACTTCAATTTTTGCATGTATACTAATTTTAATGTTCTATGATCAGGACAGGAAAATAAATTTCCAGTTAACTTGTATCTCTAGGTATTTACTGAGGCTCCATAGGTACCCCATTATATTGTAAAGATCAAATGGAACTCCTATATACTGAGCGTACCTTTGGAGCCTGGGTATCCTTATTAAACTCTCGAGGTACCCCTTTATACTAAAAGAACCTCTTGGTATCCAGTATACTGACAGTAGTAGGTACCCCAATATACTCTATTTTGTCTATTTAGGTTCTAAGACGTGGCCCTCTATTTATAATGACTTGGCCGATTCACAAAGGTACCCATTAAACCTTTTAACTAGAATGATGGATTACAAAGTTTCATTCTTAGAAACGTTTGTAATTGGTTTTAACTTTGTTTGCAATCTGTTTTTTACAATAAATATGATTTATTTTCATTCAAATTTTAAAACGCCACAAAATGGTCAGGATGTACGATGTAAAGTCAGCTGCGTTGAGTTAAAACTGTAAGCTAGCGTATATTCCAGTTTTTCCAGTAGTTTGTACAGTTTAGCTTGTAAGCCGTAGATGATCAGACAATGGTTTAATCAATCTGATATTCTATAGTTGATGGATTCCTTGACATTCCGTCTACTGTCCCTTTAAAAATATTCAAATTTACCTGTGCATTGAACTCCTTCATCTTCTTCATGATGCCCTCGACGTTGAGTGGGTTGTCTAATAGGACCGGGGTTTTCACCGGGAACACTTTGGTTGTAACCTCGGTATGCAGGGACGATGTTCCATTAGTTTGAGTAAAGGATCGGGTACTTGAGCTCTGCGGAAGGCCTATATTTACAATATTGCAATGATGGAGAATAATAAACTTTAAAGGGAATGTTAATGTAATTTCAAATGACACTATATTTCAAGTGGTACATCCCTATCCATAACAATACTGTTAACAACTTTAACTGTAAATAAACTGTAAAAGGGAAAAATCGTTGTCATCTTAATTCCAGAAGGCAATTTTAATCGTGAAACTTCTTTATTACTTTTCCGAAAAAGGGTGAAAGGCCAGGGTACCGATGTATCTCGGATATGTAACTATAAACTTCGATTGTCGACAATATCGTAAATAAATATGTTAGTCATGATTACACTAATTAAAAATATATTTCTTCTTACCATTCCTTTCGATTGCGTCTCCCATGGTGAATGGTATTGAGTTGCCTCTGGGAGTCATTTGTTGTATCATTGGAGCCAACATCTGCCCCATTGGGGTAGATAAAACTTCATAGGGTAAATCTGAACAGATTATCTTCATTTCTTGTTTGTAGTTGTAATGTATATATTGTTATTTGATCATCTAATCTCAAAAACGTTTTAATGGGGAAAAATTGAGAATCTATACTATAGTTGCATGTTAAGAGGCCTTTTAAAACAAATTTGAAGCTTTTAAAGAAATGAAAATAACATCATTTAAATTACGGATGTATCCTTGAACATGTTCCTACCTAGAATATATTGGGGAATCCCTTTCCCCGTCAGAAATTGTGCAGTCTCGTGAGAGAAATTGTTACAGTTGTGGTGAAATAGGTCATACCTCTCACCCTTAAACCTAATCAATCAATCAATCAATCAATATTTTTCTATCAGCATTTGATCCACACAATTCACTAAGATAAATTTATATAAAATTCAATAAGTCGGTTCCAATTCCTTAATTAATTTTTAGTTAATTTTCCGTGACCCTAAATTCAAAGATGACATTACCCGATTCACAACGGTACCCTTGACATCTTTATCTAATCAACCTGGAAAATTTTGTAATTTTTCTAGTTAGAAGTTTTAAACCCTAATAATTCCTGTATTTTTTTAATAAAAAAGGCACAAATCACTTTTGTATGGTTTCTCACCATAATTGTAAATAATAAGTTTAGTTTTTTAAATCATAAACATTCACATCTAATTTATACTTAACCAGCTTTTAAGGATTCAGTTGTGAATCAGGCATTGCCATCCTTTCATGGAGGGTCACTTGAAATAACGCTTATTATCCCATTTATTTAATCTCTGAATTTGATATTTTAAAAGAGCGATAACTGAACCTGTCTTTTGAATGGGTGAGAAGGTATTCATTAAACACCTCGAATGGAATCTGAGTTTCCCCGAGATCTTCAATCTTTAAAGGTTGACCTGCAACAGAAAAGACATAATTTTTGTTCGTACGTCGAAAAACAAATGTTGCAACTGAAAAAAAATAATGGGATTTGTGTGTGTGTGTTTAGGGGGGCAGCACACTTTCTACCTCAACCTCACATTCATTCAACCTCAGGCACTTCTGCCTAAATATTTACAGATTTAGAATAGTAAAACATAAATAAATCTTGGCAATGAAAATGTACATTAACGTCGACGTTTTAAATCTCAAGCAGAAAAAAAACATTAAACAAAACGACTTGACTATATTCATTTTAAACTACTTTTTGTGATATCAGTGATTATTTTAAACATAAAAGTTATTTTCTTTTGAAACCCGTTTTTAATTGATCTACAAAGACTGTCAATTAATTATAAATAGACACTAGACAGCTCTTTAGGTCAGGATGGAAGAGCGCAAAGAGAACTTATTTAATATTAAATAGTTAACAATCCATTAATGTTTTATGTTACCTAGCATGGTGGTGCCTGGTGGGACAGATTCTATTCCAGCAGAACCAAAATAATATTCACGATCGTAAACCACCACAGCAGTGTGCCATAGAGCTTCCAGGGGTCGTCCTGTACAATACACAATTTTAAATATACATTATGTGGAAAATAAATCGACCATTCTTACATTTAAGGTTTTCAGCGCCAAGGATTTTCATAATTTTGTCAATCGAATTTAAATTGAGTGTTTATTGAAAGTTTTCGAAGAGAGAGAGATAATTTCCTATTGTACGCTTTTTTAACCCTGTTAGANTCTAATAAAAGAAGGGAAAAGGATAAGCTTATCAAAATAATTTAAATTGTTCTGAATGTTACTTGTTGCTGTACGATGGTTCATTAGAGTTATTAATCTAATATAAGAAGGGAAAAGGATAAGCTTATCACTTGGACTTTGTTGCTCATATTTCCGCTTTCAGTTTAAATTTCCGCTGCAATTTATCTGAAGAACAGAAAGAAGTATTTTTGTTAGTTATTTTTTATTGAGAAAAAAATTGTTTAAAAATATGAAACAAAAAGGAGAAACTCGTACTTAGAGATTGACAATTACTAAAAAGATAAAGCTCAATTTGATAAGCCGTTTTTTTGGTAAAGAATTCCAAAAATATTTTAGTATTTCAAATCAAATTAAAGTATTTTAAAGTAAAATGTTCTTTAAGAATAAAACAAAATTCAAAACTAAGTCTTACTTTGAACTCGACTTATAAAAAACTAAAATTTCAATGACAGGCAGTTTTTTGGCTTTCTGCCGAAATGTTTATATAATATAGCAGACGAATGTTCTAGATCTATAACGTAAAGTACGACGGGGCATTCCAGCATCAATATATGTCGTCTTTTATATAATTTCAATAAATATTTTTTGAAAGTGGATTACGTCTGGAACGTCTAGAATTCCTAGAATAAAGCGCGAAATGGGATTCTGAAATAATTATTAAATGACGTTTCTTACATTTTATATTTGTTCCGTATTTACTGATCTGGAAAAAATATGTGCACATAAAATGAGATCATATGGTGGTGTATTTTTCGACCTTCACATATCCGCCATACTCCACTTCTGACCTACGCCAAATCCGCTATACTACACATCCGACCTACTAGCACGTGGTATTACAGCTGCTATATGGACTTGTGGCCGCAGCGCCCGGCCCCCTAGCCTGTCCTAGCCGCGGCGCTCGGCCCCCTAGCCTGTCCTAGCCGCAGCGCTCGGCCCAGAAATTGTCTTAACCTAACCTAACCCTCAAATAATACTAAAATAAACAGCTGGCGTAGGTCCGATATTGCAGTAGGTCGGAAAGTTAGTAGGTCAGAAGTTCAGTAGGGGGGATGTTGCGTATAGACGATGTAACATTACCGATCATATGTATATATGTATATATGTATATATATGTATGTGAGGTCTTGATAAGAACTTTGTGAAGGGTAAAATTACATCGTCTATCCGCAACATCCCCTCTTCTGAACTTCTGACCTACTAACTTTCCGACCTACTGCAATATCGGACCTACACTAGCTGTTTATTTTTGTATTATTTAAGGGTTAGGTTAGGCGAGCGCTGCGGCTAGGACAGGCTAGGGGGCCGAGCGCCGCGGCTAGGGCAGACTAAGGGGCCGGGCGCTGCGGCCACAACGGCCACAAGTCCATACAGAATCTGTAAAACAAAGTGCTAGTTATAGGTCGGATCTGTAGTATGGCGGATTTGGCGGAGGTCAGAGGTGGAGTATAGCGGATTTGCGTAGGTCGAAAAATACACCACCATGGATCGGATTCGTAGGTCGAAAGATACACCATCGCACTCAGGCACTATGCACATGATATGCACTGGCAGTATATGTAAGGTCCAACTGGAGTAGGGACATCAGAAGGGTTCGTGAACCAGACCATGAGGGTATAGATTTCATTTCGCCCCCCCCTCATCCGCATGGTAAATTATGGGAACGTCCATGATGGGAGGTACTCGCTCAATCATCTGACCTAATGTTTTTATAATAATGATAATAATCATAATAATCATAATAATAATAATAAACATTATTAATAATAATACTGACAAAAATAATAATAATAATGATAATAATCATAATAACAACAATTATAATAATAAACATTATTAATAATAATACTAATTAGCTGGATTGCCCGACGGTACCCAAGTTTATATTTTTCATAGTCAAAGTTGCTTCCGCCGTTTACACTGGCTTGGTGTTAAATCATGATTTTAGCTGAAGTGACCAGTGTTGCCAGCGGAATTAAAATAAAAAACTGACCTAAAAAACTCAAAAAGGGTCAAAATTAATGTCTACAGACTACGAAACGAGATTTTTAAATTATCACACATTATAGTTTATTAAGATAGATATTTTGCCTGTTTTGCAATATGTTTTCTTTCCCTTGAGAAGCTTTTTGCAACATAACAGCTGGAGGTATAAGATGTAGAAATTTGAGTTAAACATTTAAATAAATGAACTACTGAATAGTCAATACGTATTTCTAATACAGGGCAAGTATGAATCAAGCATGAAAATCTTCAGTTTTCCCAAAACTAAAAAAAACTCCCCTGCAAGCTTGAGGATGAGTACAAACAGCTTCTCTTATGTAATTTAAATTTGTCTGAATGTTACTTGTTGCTGTACGATGGTTCATTAGAGTTATAAATCTAATAAAAGAAGGGAAAAGGATAAGCTTATCAAAATAATTTAAATTGGTCTGAATGTTACTTGTTGCTGTACGATGGTTCATTAGAGTTATTAATCTAATAAAAGAAGGGAAAAGGATAAGCTTATCAAAATAATTTAAATTTGTCTGAATGTTACTTGTTGCTGTACGATGGTTCATTAGAGTTATTAATCTAATAAAAGAAGGGAAAAGGATAAGCTTATCAAAATAATTTAAATTTGTCTGAATGTTACTTGTTGCTGTACGATGGTTCATTAGAGTTATNTCTATCTATCTATCTATCTATCTATCTATCTATCTATCTATCTATCTATCTATCTATCTATCTATCTATCTATCTATCTATCTATCTATCTATCTATCTATCTATCTATCTATCTATCTATCTATCTATCTATCTATCTATCTATCTATCTATCTATCTATCTATCTATCTATCTATCTATCTATCTATCTATCTATCTATCTATCTATCTATCTATCTATCTATCTATCTATCTATCTATCTATCTATCTATCTATCTATCTATCTATCTATCTATCTATCTATCTATCTATCTATCTATCTATCTATCTATCTATCTATCTATCTATCTATCTATCTATCTATCTATCTATCTATCTATCTATCTATCTATCTATCTATCTATCTATCTATCTATCTATCTATCTATCTATCTATCTATCTATCTATCTATCTATCTATCTATCTATCTATCTATCTATCTATCTATCTATCTATCTATCTATCTATCTATCTATCTATCTATCTATCTATCTATCTATCTATCTATCTATCTATCTATCTATCTATCTATCTATCTATCTATCTATCTATCTATCTATCTATCTATCTATCTATCTATCTATCTATCTATCTATCTATCTATCTATCTATCTATCTATCTATCTATCTATCTATCTATCTATCTATCTATCTATCTATCTATCTATCTATCTATCTATCTATCTATCTATCTATCTATCTATCTATCTATCTATCTATCTATCTATCTATCTATCTATCTATCTATCTATCTATCTATCTATCTATCTATCTATCTATCTATCTATCTATCTATCTATCTATCTATCTATCTATCTATCTATCTATCTATCTATCTATCTATCTATCTATCTATCTATCTATCTATCTAATCTGTATTTGAACACCAAGGTATAATATTCCAAACATTCACACATTCCACTGCTATCAATCCATCCATTTATCTATCATCTATCCTTTATCTATTCATCCAACCATCCTCTTCCATCTATCCATATATCCGGCCATCCATGCATCTATCTAGATCATCCATGCAGCCATGCTTTTATTCTTTTATCCAATGTAAAAACTTTCTGTCTATTTTTCCATCACTGTTTAGTTTTTCCCTCCATTTTCCATTCTTAGAGCTATCCTTTTATTTATCTGTCATTCCATTAATCTATTAAGTCTATCCTGTTAGTCACGTTTTCTTCAACTTACTTGTCTATCAATCTATTTGTCCATCTTTCTATCTGTTTATAATTCTTCATTCTTTCTGTCTATTCTTTCTGTCTATTCTATCTGTCCATCATTATCTCTGTCCATCATTCTCTTTGTCCATCATTCTCTCTGTCCATTATTCTCTCTGTCCATCATTCTCTCTGTCCATCATTCTCTCTGTCCATCATTCTCTTTGTCCATCATTCTCTCTGTCCATCATTCTCTCTGTCCATGTTTCTATCTTTCCATCATTCCATCTGTCCATCATTCTCTCTGTCCATCATTCTATCTGTCCATCATTCTCTCTGTCCATTATTCTATCTTTCCATCATTCCATCTGTCCATCATTCGCTCTGTCCGTCGTTCTTTCTGTCCATTATTCTAACTGTTCATGTGTTGAACACTAAGCTTGTTCATGTATTGAACACTAAGCTTGTTCGTGTGTTGAACTCGTTGAACACTAAGGTATGTAAAGTATGCAGCTAAGCATGTGCCTAGCAGTTGGACGAACTTAAAGAAAAGAATAAAAAAATTAATTAAGGATTTTTAGAAAATTTGCATCCGGCGGAATGACTTGTACATTCTCCTTCTGCTTTGTTTATACAACAAAATTTTAAAACACTTTTTCACTTTATGTATTTCGCTATATATGTTTATATTTTTATGTATGTTTGTAGTAAATACCTTACTCCATAACAGTTTCTCTAACATGTATCTATCCAGGGACAACTCGTCAGCTATCAATGTCAACAGGGACACAAGCTCTTATGCCAAACCAATGGGCACGATCCTCAACTTATAGCACAGTTGAAAAAGGCGCAGTTAAGTTATATATATCACAGGATAAACCTAATCCTGCTACGAATTTATTTGAAACGCAGTTCAAATGAATAATGGGTTTTACGCAAAAGTTTACAAACATAGATAGTTAATAGTGTACAACGTACTGCAGGTTTACAGAATATAGTGTTACCCGATATGTATTACATGTTGTCCGGTACTTATTGTTACTCCCGCGGTTTACCCGCACTTAGACGATTTTACCGGGAAACTAAATTTTTGCTCTAAAAGTCAACCCACTCAACTTAGAATCAGCCGAGTTCCCTAATCAAAATTTGAGGCAAATCGGTCCAGGTGTTACTGAGTTATAATCGGACAAACAAACAGACAGGACGACAGACAAACAGAGATAAGTACTTTATATGTATAGATTCTATTTTTCTTTTCTCTTTAATTTTAAGTTTATATTTCGTAGGTTTTTATATTATATACATTACAAAATATCTAATTTTGTCCAAAATGTTGCTTGTGATATAGAAAGATAATCTTTTTGATGTTTTAGCCTTCTAAAGAGAATACTTCATTACACAAGATGTACTATGACGGAGAGCAGACTTAACGATCTTGCACTTATGGCTCACTACTGAGAAAATCATTGAAATGTTTGTGCAAGCAAATCCCAGAAAATTGAAGTTTAAAAGAGTTGGTGAATATGTAGATGGAGTAAATTCTATCTAAAAATTTCAGAAGAAATTTCGTTTATAAGTGAAAATATGATTTTTTAATGATGCTATGATTATTGATTTACTTAGCTGTGATGGAGTTAAGTGATAAATTTATAAATTTATAGAGTAAAAATAATTTTTTTACTCTATAAGGTTAGTAACAACCAAAAATGTAGTCTTTTTGATGTATTTTATGGTGTTACTTGACTTTTTGAACAAAACAATTCCCGGGGGGGGGGGGCAAAAAGAAATCTTGCCCCCCCTGACTAAAATCCTGTGTACGCGCCTGAATGATACAGATATTAAATTGCCCGAGCACTAAATATCATTCAAATCGTATTTTTTGGTTTCAAGAAAAATTTAGTAAGTAAATTTAAAAAAAAAATAAGAAGAATAAATAACATTTAATGTATTTATAGTTACAGCCCTTAAATGACTATTCTATAAACTTACAGTTTAAAAACTTTACAATCTACGTAGAACTGTATAATACTATAAACTATAAACTGCATATTATAATATGTTTCACAAAAAAGTTTATTTTCTAATGTTTTCGGGAATAAAAATCATGAGATATATAGAGTAAACTAATGCTATGCATTTAACTAAGTTTGTCAGTAAATATTTAAAATTTGACGTTTACGGTTTATAATTTCAGGACTTTCTTGGAATTTGAGACTCATTGAGGTGGAGGCAGAATTTGAATTGTTTTATTTTATTTGATCAGATGGAAATCTTGAATGGGCAAAGCACTCGTTTGTTTTGGCTCAGGAAGATATAAAAATAATACAATTCAACTAAAACCCTTTCAAAATTATGATTTTTGAATTTTCATCTATATAAAAGTACATTCACGTACGTAATTTTAAAGTTTGTTGCTAAATATGTTATACCAAAAATATGCACAAAAGATATATTTATCATTATTTATTTCTAAGAATCGTTTTTCAATAAACCTAATTTTATTTATTTTGTTTGCCACACATGTTCCACTTTTAAAGTGCACAATGTATTTTTCTGTCTGAAAATATTTTTTAATTGATATTTTATTTCATACATTATACAATACATATTAACAACTATTTTTAAGAAGAACCCTCCCCCTTTCCCAGAGTATTTTACCCCTACAACCTTAGGTTCTCAGGACATTGCTACTATAAGACCGTTGCCTGTACGATGGTTCATTAGAGTTATAAATCTAATATAAGAAGGGAAAAGGATAAGCTTATCAAAATAATTTAAATTGTTCTGAATGTTACTTGTTGCTGTACGATGGTTCATTAGAGTTATTAATCTAATAAAAGAAGGGAAAAGGATAAGCTTATCAAAATAATTTAAATTTGTCTGAATGTTACTTGTTGCTGTACGATGGTTCATTAGAGTTATAAATCTAATATAAGAAGGGAAAAGGATAAGCTTATCAAACCCCTATCATTTCACAAGACAGGATAGAAATAAAAATTCCAAATAATTTATTTCAGAAAGCGCTCAATTTTTCTTTAATTTGAAGAAAAAATAATCCTTTACATATAATATTGGTAACAAAAATTAGATTTTATGCAAATCTCCCCCTTTTTCCTTCTTTCTATCATTTTTCGTTTCCTTCTTTGCATTTTTTCTTTTTTTCTCATATATTGTGCCCTCCTTCGGGGGTAAAGGGGAAGGGGGCACGTGCACCTGTGCCCCGCCCCGTAGCTACGGGCCTGTTCCCTCAAAAATAATTCATCCAATTTGGTCCAGCTGTAGACCAACTTTGAGCTTTTATGGAAAAATATTTCGAATTTTGAAAAAAAGTTATTTGGATAACAAAAATAGTAATAATAATGAAAATAATAATGATAATTTTAATGATACCAGTGGCGTACATAGGGGGGGGGGCAGTAGTCCTCGTGCCCCCCCTGGAAAATACAAAATTAAAAGGAAACAAATTTAAGAAGTAACACCTGACAATGACAAAGACTAAGGATTTGTCTAAATTCACTGTTAACACCAAATTTTATGAAACTTTAAACTAAAACTTTTGCAAAAACGAGACCTCGACATATTAGATGCTTATAACATGATGGAAGATGTAATAAAGGTATTCTATTTTCTATTTTTCTATTTTTTCTTACAGTCAATTAATAAAGTAATTGAGTCTTTAGCACAAACTCAAATATATAAACCTTTGGAACCTGATGTTGTAAACCTTTGATATTTCAAATTCAGAATATTTGATGTAACAGAATTCATAGTTTGAAATATCTAAGGTCTACAACATTTGGTTCCAAAGAAAATCAGAGTTTGTGGCAAGGACTCAATTCCTTTATTTCCATAAAGAGATATTAAGCGTAGTTTCAAGTTCCCCTTTATGCAATGATGACAATAACATCGAATGAAGGAAAGAGAAGTCTTAGCCTTCTAAAGAGAATACTTCATTACACAAGATGTACTATGACGGAGAGCAGACTTAATGATCTTGCACTTATGGCTCACTACTGAGAAAATCATTGAAATGTTTGTGCAAGCAAATCCCAGAAAATTGAAGTTTAAAAGAGTTGGTGAATATGTAGATGGAGTAAATTCTATCTAAAAATTTCAGAAGAAATTTCGTTTATAAGTGAAAATATGATTTTTTAATGATGCTATGATTATTGATTTACTTAGCTGTGATGGAGTTAAGTGATAAATTTATAAATTTATAGAGTAAAAATAATTTTTTTACTCTATAAGGTTAGTAACAACCAAAAATGTAGTCTTTTTGATGTATTTTATGGTGTTACTTGACTTTTTGAACAAAACAATTCCCGGGGGGGGGGGGCAAAAAGAAATCTTGCCCCCCCTGACTAAAATCCTGTGTACGCGCCTGAATGATACAGATATTAAATTGCCCGAGCACTAAATATCATTCAAATCGTATTTTTTGGTTTCAAGAAAAATTTAGTAAGTAAATTTAAAAAAAAAATAAGAAGAATAAATAACATTTAATGTATTTATAGTTACAGCCCTTAAATGACTATTCTATAAACTTACAGTTTAAAAACTTTACAATCTACGTAGAACTGTATAATACTATAAACTATAAACTGCATATTATAATATGTTTCACAAAAAAGTTTATTTTCTAATGTTTTCGGGAATAAAAATCATGAGATATATAGAGTAAACTAATGCTATGCATTTAACTAAGTTTGTCAGTAAATATTTAAAATTTGACGTTTACGGTTTATAATTTCAGGACTTTCTTGGAATTTGAGACTCATTGAGGTGGAGGCAGAATTTGAATTGTTTTATTTTATTTGATCAGATGGAAATCTTGAATGGGCAAAGCACTCGTTTGTTTTGGCTCAGGAAGATATAAAAATAATACAATTCAACTAAAACCCTTTCAAAATTATGATTTTTGAATTTTCATCTATATAAAAGTACATTCACGTACGTAATTTTAAAGTTTGTTGCTAAATATGTTATACCAAAAATATGCACAAAAGATATATTTATCATTATTTATTTCTAAGAATCGTTTTTCAATAAACCTAATTTTATTTATTTTGTTTGCCACACATGTTCCACTTTTAAAGTGCACAATGTATTTTTCTGTCTGAAAATATTTTTTAATTGATATTTTATTTCATACATTATACAATACATATTAACAACTATTTTTAAGAAGAACCCTCCCCCTTTCCCAGAGTATTTTACCCCTACAACCTTAGGTTCTCAGGACATTGCTACTATAAGACCGTTGCCTGTACGATGGTTCATTAGAGTTATAAATCTAATATAAGAAGGGAAAAGGATAAGCTTATCAAAATTAACTTGCGCCCCGCATGCGTCTGTGTTAAAACCGGCGCCAGGTAAACCAGATATATGTGTTACACAAAATTTAAATTTTTTAAATATTAATTAAACAGTTTAAATTTTTTCTGGATTTTTTTATTTAAAAAGACTCCCTTGCACCGCCTTTCTAAAACTTTGAAGAGTAGAAAACCCCTGCGAAGGAAGTAACCGTGACGGCCGACTCAATCCCTCCTCAGTTGTTTTCTGTCCCTAGACTAGGATAGTAGTGTTGCGGAGCTCCCGTGACGACCGTGCTAAACGACCCTGAGAGGTTTCAATGTTATGAGGTTTTGTCTCCAGAGGTAAGAAAGATGAAGCCTAGAACCAAACTGATTGCAATTCATCCTGTACATGGATATCCTATTCCTCCCCCGCAGGACGTGAAGGTCTCCAGGAGGAATGCCAGGGAGAGGAACAGGGTCAAGACGGTTAACAGTGGGTTCGATGTTCTCAAGAGTCACATCCCGACCGCAGCGCAGATCAAGAAAATGTCAAAAGTAAACATTCTTAGCCATGCTGTACAGTACATACAGAACCTACAAAGCATGCTAAATGATTCTCCCGATTCTACAAATGTGCAAGATACTATCAAGAAGGAGAAATGGAGTGGGGAACCTCTTGTACATTACGTACAGCATCCCCCGATCTGCAGTACATTTCCAACTGAACCCCCCGTATACCCTCCACCCTTAACCCCTCTCTCCCCCAACACTATGTACTACCCTGGAAACTACAGACAGTACGAGTCAGGATATGAAACCTACTCTGAACCTGACCATTTAACTCCTCAACCTAAACTACCTCTAGTCCTTCCTTCTCCTCAACCTTTACCATCTTCTTCTCATCCTCTAGCTCATGGACTCCAGTCTAACCTCCTGGAGCTCCAGTCTCCAGCTCCCTCCTTGAGAGCCTCCTACCTCCTTCCTCCGAAACATCAGGTTCCAGATCAGGATTCATCAGGAGAGGAAGACGATATTCTTGACGCTATCGCGGAGTGGCAACAAACGGAGCAATGAAGGACTGCAACGAAGTAGTGAAACCTCTGAGAAGAAATCAACAAAGCATCTGCTAGAAATACAACTTAAAAAGACATCAATGGCGAAATTTTCATGAGAATCGTGGCTGCTAATTAAGCATTAAAAAGTATGTGCCCTCATTACCTGAAAACACAAACAAACCTAAACGCTTAAAAAAAGACAGAAACTGGAACAATGGAAACCTGCTCAATTTTGTAAAACAGTTGGCATTATATCCTTGTATAACTACCCGCCACCCACAATTTAAACTTCCCACTCAACCTTTATTCTGTGAACTGCCAACAATATTTACTTTCAAATATTTAAATTAATTAAATCTGTGTATTTTGTAATTTTAAAACCCTGAAAATTATCTCCTCATTATCATAATATAGGATCTCGTGACGTTCTCAGATCTCATTTATATAAATCCGTTCGGAAAACATGTTTTTGAAAAATTGTAATTTAAACCATCTGCTCAGTTAGTTTTCAACCTGTTTTTATGTAAAATTGTACAAAATGTAAATGTAGATTACTATACTATGTACTCAGAACTGTGATTCAACTTTTATCATTGAATATATATAATTTTAGTTGATTATTAATTTTTTTTAAAATAAGGTTTCAGATAGTTAGATAGACGGAAAATAATCAAAATGATAGCGATATAGGGGTCGGAAAATAAAGCATGTAAAAGAGAAAGAAAACCCTTTTTTGAAAATGTATCATAAAGTATATTTTAATAAACATTTATATTGATAAAAGATGTCGATACAAAGCTAGATGTGTAAATAGCAAAATGATTTATATGAAACTAGGATTATAAGAAACCTTTATAATTATTTACATCTTTAAAGAGAATTTTACTTTACCAAGGGTTCACAAGACCAATTTTGCCAACAAAACACCCACCAGGAGCGTATTATATTATGTTAAAAGACATTATTTAAAGGGAATGTTGGTGAAAAATTCAAGGGGCCTATGGTCGCGTTGAAGAAACGTCTTCACAATAGCTTTATTTCGGTACCAATATATATATACAGGGTCATTCACAAAGGATGAGATCTAAAACTATTGAAATATGACGATTCCAAGTTCAAATTAACTTGTCTGCCTTGAATGTGGTCTTTAAATGAAAAATCGATTATTTAATATTTTGACAAAGAAAAAAAGCCTTATAGTTGCAGGGAATCATGAAGATAAGAAAACAGTGCAGTATAAATTCTGTACAGTCGTCTCTGAAGTCTCATCCTTTGTGGGTAACCCACGTACGTTTATCACTAATTTTCCCAGCAAATTGAAAAATTCGGTATGAATTTATATTACACCTAATATTATGCAATTGAAGCGAAACTTATTAAATAGAGTAATAAAAAAGTTAGCGTAAATACTAGTTTTATACTCAGAGATAATAGCACTAAAAAAAGTTATATCTATTTCGTTTAGAAAGTAGTTTTTCCGTACACAAAATGCTGCGAAAATATATCAGAAGAATATATTTTTTATTAGAAAAGGCATTGTTAAATAAAAAATAAGTATATAAGCAAGCAAGTATTACATTTGAGCACACTTGCAATTAAAGCTTTGAAATGGTATAAGAAAACTACTTTAGATTAATCAGATAAGGAACAAATTTATCAAGCAATAAAACTTGAATAAGTCTACTGTGTATTTCATACAATGCTTCTTTTATTGTATATCTATACAAATAAAGTAGTAATCTGTTTGTATGTCCGATCATAACTCAGAAACCCCTTAATCGATTTGCCTCAAATTTTGATTGGGAAATTCGGTAGAACCACGGAAATATATTGTGCTTGGTATTAAAAGGTCTAGGTTCCCAAACTAGTAACTAAATAAAAAATAGACAAATAAAATACTTCATAATTTTGACACGGAACCTTTCTATGTTTCTAGAATCACAATAGAAACTTGCATTACGCAATTTTTAAAATATTGAAAATCCGAAAGAAACCATTGATCATAAATGGCTTTAAAGGTAAAAAATTTCAATTTGCTAAGTCGAAAGTAATTTTTTTAGGGGGGGGGGGGAGGTATCATGTTTGTAAGAAAAGTAAGGGAATGAAGATTAAATGTTTTTTATTTCAATTGGTTTAGCAGGTGTAGGCGTTTACATTTCATACTATATACTGAGGTTAAAGGATTAGTTTTATTAGTTTTTAATGAATTCTCTTTAAAACTTTTAAAAAACCAAATAACGCAAACAAATGCAAAACGTGAATGTTATTAAAATGCTAACCAGGTAGTATAATGACTTACTTGTTAATCATAGATCAGACAAATCTAAGCTTGTTAAATATTCAGATGATGACGAATTCCCCCCTAGCCCTTTATACAGACAGAATCAAAAAAGATATCAGACTTGGATCAAGATATAAGATACGTGCATCCAACACGCGCCATCTAGTTTTCCACAGGGCAAAATCTGGAACATGGTCCGTGTATATAATTTTAATGCCTCTCCCCGCCAATTTTCATATTCTTAACTAGATAATTGCCTTAGACAGCATAGGCAAGTAAATTACTGTTGAGGGTGCAGTCTTATTCTTTATATGAGTAGGATATTATCCTGATAAACCATAATTTCCTAGTACTAGTCCTAGTCATACCGTGGGCTCACTAAAACGAGGGGGGTATATTTAAACTCTTTTTGATTGGAGACTTTCTTCCAAAGTGTTTATTTTACACAACGGACATTAGTTTTAAAGAAAAAACTGTTTCAAACTTAGATTATTTGGTCTCACAGAATTCATAGTTTTAAATATTTAAGGTTTCAAAACTGGGTTGAAAAGATATTGGGATAAGAAAATTAGAGTTTGTGACTCCATACCTTTAAATCTTTTTCATTAAAATCTCACCAACCTTCGATTATAAAACTGTTTCATCAGAGAATCTGATGAATTTATTTTGGACTTGCATTTACTAATTCAAATTGTGCCCATAGGGTGGTTAAAATCTAGCAAGAATGGCGTTCATACCATAATGTATATTGTTTATTGACTAGTCCTGTATTTTTCATATTTAACTATTCAATTTACTGCTCTATTGTGTCAAAAGTTCTTTAGACGGGATTAAAATTTGAACCTTGGGATGATATCTTCCCGCCTTAGTCTGACCCGAGGGGGAGGGTTTGACAACATAAGTTCAAATAGAGACATTTAACCGTGAAAAAGATGAAAATCGTGTCATGTTTTTTCCAACTAACGTCCGGTGAAGTGGCCTTGAAAAATTAATTTTCCTCCACATGCTGCGTTTTAGGGGAATATAGGCTGGATGATGGTGTTTTAACTGAGCATATTTCCACAAACCTATTCAAGTATTTTGAGGATCCAGTTGATTGAAAAAACTGATAAGAAAGAATTGTTTGTGGTGGTAGGAATGCTGTTAAAAATGAGGTTGAAAAATGTAGAATATGAGAAAAACTCGGCTTGTAAACCAACGCCTGAAATCTGCCAGATTATCTAAATAATCCACAAAACTAAAATGTTCGTAAAATTCGGAAACTGATTAATTATCCATAAAATTAACAACTTTCTTAAAAACGCCAATACCAAATCAATGCATTTTATTAGCTGTTAAAAAATTAAAAATTTTAGAAATATATAATTAAATGTTCGAAATATTTTCAAACCATATGTTCGGATTTTGCTTAAGACTTATAGTGCTTTCTTTATACTTCAGGACAATCAGATCCTTTGTGTGCATGGACTTGGAAAGGGGGTTGGGGTGGGAAGGAAACAGTTTTTTTTTGGGGGGGGCGACTGTTGTTGATGTATTGGGGTTGTGGAGGAACATTATGGAATTTCCAGGACTCCTGTCAAGAAAATATTTTGTCTTTTATTCACTTATTATTATTATTATTAAAATACTTTCTTCTTTCTCACCTATGATAGAAGAATATTTGAAAAATCAAATATTCTTGGTGTTCAGGGGCTGCCCAAACATATGGTAATGTAAAACTTGTAAAAATTGAATGATATAAAAGTTAACTTTTTTAATTTTCCTTTTCATAATTCATTATTCGTCATTAATGCAATCATATTAAATCAATGCTCAGTTAGCTGACATTTTTTTCTCTGGGTTAGAATGAACATGAGTTAAAGTATAATCTTAAAAATATTTCAATCCTTTGTAAAATATTTACAATTCAAAATTTTTAAGATGTTTTTTGTATAGTGTAAACTTCTTTACAGTGTTATACATTTTACATAATCCAATTGTAATCTAAATATCTTATGTAAATCTATCTATCTGTCTATCTATCTATCTATCTATCTATCTATCTATCTATCTATCTATCTATCTATCTATCTATCTATCTATCTATCTATCTATCTATCTATCTATCTATATATCTATCTATTAATCTTGTTATGAATCCTAAACCAATAAACAGTTTATAAAATATAAATAAAAATATTATTGTGTCTTCATGTTCTCTCCTGGGAAAATATGTTTTCCACAGGATAATAAAGATATTCTAACATACTTTTATCATGTAATGATGAAAAATTAGAAAAATACATTTAACGGATTTATTCTTAATTCAAAATGACAAGTTTCAAGACATTTTTGAATTTACGTGCATTATAATTTTTTTTGTAATAAGAGGAGATATGAAATAAAGGAAATAAGTTTTTGCCACAAACTGAATTTTTCTAATCCGTATATCTGTGCAACCTGATGAAGTTAGAAATAAGAGTTTGTGGCAAAATAGTGGAACTACGGGACTGTTCTTACATAGCTGATTTGTTCTCTTGTCTTGATTACATAAAAAGAATGCGATCGTGTATATTTCTTTATTTTCTTTTAGAACCAGAATTTAGATTTTTCTACTTAATTTATTCTGTATTTAACATGATATTTACATGATTTAAACTACAGAAAAGAGTTCATATTTAAACCCTTATTTAATATGATACTAAAGAATATATTAACACGCCTACCAGGACCTCACACATCAACACACACACACCCCCTTTCACACAAACACACACACGTGCCTAAGATGTTAAAGAAATCTCGTTGCTTCCTGATATTCAACCCTTTCCGGTCAAATCCTTAAACTCCTTAAAGGTCACACGGTTCACATATGCTCCTTCCATTCTCTCACTCACATCCTTAACCCCATCCAGGCGCGTGTCTACAGCTCATCCGGTCAACCTGTAGGCAGCCCTTAATTGTAATAGGGTCAACCTCTAGCCAGCTCTTGTAATATGGTCAACCTATAGCCAGCCCTGGTTATAGGGTCAACCTGTAGACAAGTCTTGTAAAAGGGTCAACTTCTACCCAGCTCTTGTAATAGGGTCAATCTGTAGAGAAGTCTTTTAATAGGGTTAACCTGTAGAGAAGTCTTTTAATAGGGCCAGCCTGTAGAGAAGTCTTTTAATATGGTCAACCTGTAGAGAAGTCTTTTAATAGGGTCAGTCTATATCTTAAACCCGTTTTGATATAAATAAGCAATATTAAAGACAGGTGAATAATTTGTATTGCTAGTTATTCAAGTTGAAGAATTCAAGAGAAAAAAAGAGAAATATCAATTGAGGGGGGGGGTTGTATGCAACATCCCCTGCACCC